TCTGAAAAGATACTTTTTGGTTTTTAAAGCATTAATTATATACCTGCAATATGAATCTATTAACAGTGCTATTAAATTGTTTAAAAGATTGTGGTATTTCACTCACCGTTTTGATGTTCTTTACAAACTTTATGCTTTTGTCCTTCATATGTGGGTATGAGTGGAAAAGGACACTTCATCTTGCCAAAGGAAATCCCTGGAATAAAAGTATCACCTGCTGTGAATCTATAAATATCCAATCTATAATAAACCATTCATCTAAACAAGAAGAGTTAAACAATAAGTGCATATGATTACTTACTGGAGCATCGGCATGAACGAACATTAGCCCTCGTAAATCCAACAGAATCAGATTTATCACCACGAGCTGTAAGGACCGATGAGAAAGAATCAGATCATTTTAGTGGAGAACGGATTTGGAAAAACAGCATCACATGCCCTTAGAACAACTTAAAAAAAAAAATCTCTCTTGTGCACGTACCTGTTCTGTTGGAGAAGCAATCAACCAGAATAACGAGCAGCAGAGTCGCTGTTATAATCTTTGCCATGGTGTCCAGATTCTCTCTTCTCGCTCCAAATGCTTCTGGGAAACGGCACCAAGATGGGCACTTTTATAGCACCAGAACTTCCTCATTCATGAGGGCTGCAGAGTCCTGGATAGGTCATGACATGTCTGATGAATTCTTTTTTTTGTGGGGACAAAGCCTATCTTTGTTTGCTGCTTAGATTTGTTTGTGAAATGTGATGAAGCTGGAGATAGCACCTGCTCCTGCACAAACATGACTCAGTTACCTGAGTCCCAGCGAACTTTCACCAACGACGGTAGACAAAAAAAAACACAACAAGAGGGTCACTTAGATAGGATCTAATGACAGACGATACCGCTAATAACATGCATTATGTCTAATCACCAGAACAGCCCTTTACTTACCTGAACAAAACAAGAATTTCACCTCACAAGCTCGGACGGATGTCAGGGTAGCTTACTAGTTAATCAAATCTTTGAAAACACACAGCCATGAGTTTCTATCTCCACCTTTTATTTCATATATCCATAACTCTCCACTTTGAAATTAGTTTTCAGCTTTTTTTTGCAATCATTTTGTCAAAGTTGTCTAACATTCTGTTCATTTGGTGCAAAATGAATTGAAAAAGTCCCACACTTTAAAGCTTGACAATTGGTGCAGTGCTGTTAAGCATAAAGGCCTCAACTTGATAACTCTTAGCATTCTTCCTGTTATTTTAACAAGATACAACTGCCTAATATCAGTTATTTGACTTGTCGATCTAAGCTGCTGCTGTTGATTTCCATCTGTCTTGATCAGTGCACCTGATAGTAGACAGTGCCCCTGCTGTTCCAGCTGTGTCAGCGCATTTAAGGTACCCGGTAAACTCCAGCTTTGGTGGTTCAAGTATGGTTCAGAATCAGCATGAAGTATTTTCTTTTATCTAATTGGGGCAGATTTTTGAATCTTGGACACAACTGGACAGAGGTACTTTAACTTGGAAATTATATACTGGAACATTTTTGGTACAAGAGAAAGTTTTATGCTTTTCACAGCAATAGCATTCACCTTCTATTTAGATTCATATAATCTAACCAGTGACTGATGGTGCTCTATCAGATGAGCATACCGGGTCAGACCAGCATACCCATAGTCAATACAGATGTGCAAGACGTCAGATTTGTGTTAATTCCATTAGTTTTGAATGAAAAAAAAAGAGTTTAAACTATCTCAACGTGCGTGTATCCCTTTAGTCATGTACAAAAAAATTATTTAAGATCGTCATACGTTTCAAAAAACACCAAAAAATAAGTAATTAAATTGTTTTTTTGTCCATGACTAAAGAGATACATGCCTTTTGAGGTAGTTTAAAGTTTATTTTTCGAACAAAACTAAAGGGATAAACTAAAGGGATAAAGGGGTGTTGACTATACTGGTCTACCTACCTGACAGAAAAACGGTTCACTGAGTGGGATGATGCTGTCAGTAAGCTGCAGGCTGAGCTGAGAAAGGTCACTTTAAGGTTGCAATGAAAGAAAACTTGAACGCTTTGGACAAAAGAAAAGAAAGTGAGCAAATGAAAGTTTGATTATAAACAGGGGTATATAATTAGTATGATGTTTGTTCGTTTTCTTCAATAGCAAAACTTTTTTTTAGGTTAAAGGAGGCATTTGCAACCAGAAAAGGACTCAGAGAGCATAGACCTCCGTTAAGCAGCACATTTACTCCCCATAATGTGACTTAGACTGACAGCTAGAACTCCCACATCATGTGGATCATTACCAAATTTTAATGACTTGTTCCATGACATGAGGCGTCTGCGTGGCTGTAATGAAAGACGATTTGTCTGCAGCCTCTGGTGTCTATTCTGCTCTCCTTCTTTAATTCGCTCTGCTTTCTTCTTTGATCTGCAGAAGAGCGAGGCATGGCTCCCTTTTTTTGTGTATTTGTATTTTTGTCAGTCAGTATAATACTTCTAGATGTTTTGAGTCCGATACTGAAGCTGTCAATACTGCCTGCTCCCTCTGGTTTAAGTGGAGATGCAAGTTCTGCCAAATACCCCATTCTAACAATGTTAAAGAAGGCTTTAAAATTTAACAATTTATTATACCGGTAATCTTGATTGAAATCAACACCAAAGTGATATAAATTTGTCAATAGCATGAAGCGCACCTCTTGTTAAACAATTTTATTAAAATCTGACCATAACTTTTCAACTAATCCTGTTAATAATCTAACCCAGAAACACGACCAAAAACATAATCTCCTTCATTATCTTTAAAAAGGTAGGACTACATAGACAAGGGACTGCAGACATGCAGTGGTAGAAAAAGTACTCAACAGTAGTACTTGAGTAAAAATATTGATACTCATAGTCAAATCTTGCTCAACTATAGGTAAAAGTTACTGGTTCAAAGATCTACTCAAGTTAAAATATTGAAGTACTCACTTATGAAAATACTTAAGTATTCAAAAGTACATGGATTTAAAGTATTCAAAAAAGTATATAAATTACATTCTATAATATCAGTAAATTTCTGTCAATTTCTCTAAAACATTGGTGTCCACATTCAGCCCTTAGGGCTGCTATCTTCCATGTTGAAATTGCATTTAAAAAAAGAAATTAGCAACAGTAGCCTGACGTAGTCCGACTCAATTCTAGTCAGAATATGAGTCTGATACTGCTCCATAGAGCTGTGATTATGGGGGGTGTTTTGAACGAACCAGGAAAAAAATGCCTCTGCACTCAATTGGACAGACCTACAACCAATAAGAGCAACGGAGTGCGTGACGTATGTTAAGCGAGGCATAGTTGCTGTCCACAAAAATCAAAGCGTGCACTTGCACGCCTAGAATAAGAAGATGAGACTTGATCGCGTTTCTCTGTTCCTCTTTTAAAATTAATTTGCTGTCGATATCTTCTAGAACAGACCTAATAGCAGAATCTACTCACCCAAACTCTCCAGCGGCAGCCATTATTGTTGTCACCCAAGCGCGCTTTGGTCACGTGGTTGATAACGTTACTCTTGATCATCTGTCCATCATCGTATAAAGCCCGCCCTGACAATTTGATTGGATCGCCTGACAGTGGGCTTTAATACTCGCGCTACTATGGAGCAGAGCCAGACCGAACTTCCCCGAACTCAAACCTTGTGGGCGGGACTAAGTTCGGACTGGCACCCAGGCTATAGCAACAGTGGATTACAAAATTAAGCCAAGTTGAAAGGAACTAGTAACTAGCAGCTTCCTTAATATTGAATTGAGTAGGAAGTACAATGTTTCACTTTGAAATTGTCAGGATAATTATCATTGATGATGTGTGAGTTCATTGAACATTAACATTAGCTGCCTGTTGCATGGCAGAACTGATGTTTTCCACAATAGTTTATCTGATTAGGAAAGTTTCTCTGTCCGGATATACAGTTATAATCTTCATTACGTGGCAAAGATTTGGAAATGGAATGAGAGCGGCGTCCTTCAACAAGGAAAAAGTGTAATATTTTGATAAGGCTGGAGCAATGGATGTCTACTCATCTGCAAACTTGTATGATGTAAAATAAGAATAGAAATTGAATTTTGAACCAGTTTGAACCAGTTCTTGTTATATATATATATATATATATATATATATATATATATATATATATATGTACCCCTAATAAATACTCAAGTAAAGTAAAGATACTCAAAAAAGTACTTAAGTACAGTAATCAAGTACATTTATTTTGCTACCTTCCACCACTACAGTACAAACATGAATGTCATAATTTTTTCCTGGATGAGTTGATTTTTGATCCAGTTCATATATATATATACATATATATATATATATATATATATATATATATATATATATATATATATATATATATATATATATATATATATATATATTTTTATTTATTTATTTTTATATATATATATATATAAACATATATATATATATATATATATATATATATGTTTATATATATATATATATATATATATATATAAACATATATATATATATATATGTTTTTATTTATTTATTTATTTTTTCAAATCAGTAAGGTATTATCTAAATTGAACCAGTTCATATATATATATATATATATATATATATATATATATATATATATATATATATATATATATATATATATATATATATATATATATATATATATATATATATATATATATATATATGTTTTTATTTATTTTATTTTTTTTTTCAAATCAGTAAGGTATTATCTAAATAATTAGTGGGTAAAAAACAGTCAAAGTCCGAAGATAATTTTTAGAGAATCATCAAAACACCAGGAGGATTATTAACAAAGTTTGGAAGTAGAAATGAGACATGACTGGGGAACTTATGCGTCACTAGTTATCTCTGTAAGCCTGGGTTGTTAAAGTTCACCAAGTCCTCATGCGTGGTTGATAATAAAGCAGAGGCTGTCATTGGCTGCCTCCTGAGTCACTCCGCCATTAAGGAGCCCTCTGAACCCTCCCCTCCTACCGTGTGAGTTTCCTCTGATCAACTGTCGGCATCTTATCCACCGCACTCTGACGTCCCTGGCTGCGTGAGTCAGGACACTACAGGAGGAAATCCCCACGGCAGACAGACACACAGAGAGAGAGAGGCCCCTTTAAATCCACGCAGCTTGTTTCCTCCTCCTTGGTGAGGTTCCAGGAACAGCAGAGAAGCAGAAGCAGAGATCTGCGGTAAACAACAACAACAACAACCCGGCGGCTCTCAGTGGCAATCTGACGGATTCAGCCTTTAAACTGCGGCATCTGGAAAGACACGGTGAGCCTAATTTAGCTTTAGTTAGAGCGGGATAGTGTGTTTAAAAAAAAAAAAAAAAAGTCATGTAGAATTTTACTGTTTTAACCCATAGATTGGAAATAAAGGCAGGTTATTTTACTAGTAGTCGGATTCTTGACGCAGAGGGGAAATAATTTCTCCACCTGTTATATACAGCAGGAGAAGCAGCACTTCTCTCTGTGTTCGCATCACGTTTGTTAATAACAGGCCGCTTTTTCGCTTCAGTTCATTTCTAACCACCGTTTCTACTTTGATCGACAGGCTGTGAGGACTTTTCCTGCTCTTATTTCCATCATTTCGGCGTGTTTTTATTGTTGTTTCTACACGTTGAGAAGCATTGCGGAAGTGTGAGAGGCGACGTCTACGCTCTGGTCTGCGGTGACACCTAGCGGCGGAGAAGGAGAAGTGCAGCATGTACGGAGCGTCAGGAATCCCGGAGCTGATCCCTCACAGCGGGCCTCCCCGGCAGCCCGGCCCCGCTGGGCAGTTCAACCCGGGCCACCCGCAGGGGGACGCACACGACGGCGGCCCGAATCCCCAGAGGCTGGGACAGAGAGCACCGAAACTGGGTCAGATTGGTCGCTCCAAAAAAGGTCAGTTAAATCTTAGATATATAGCTTTATTAATTTATTTCCTGTATATTTTACCCATAAACGGTTTGAGCACAGCAGCTCCATACTATAAAGCATACTTTATACATTTCCTGAGTGCATTCATTTTTAAAACGTCAAATATATATTAAAAAAATTAGATGTCAATTGTGTCATCAGGGGCGGAGCTAGATGGGGCCACCATGGCCACCCTTAGCCACCCCTAGAATTTTTTTCCTCAAGCAGAATATAAAATAAAAAAAAATTTGATTTTTTTAATTAAAAATCACTTCACAACACAAACACTGTACATCAATATACCAACTTTAGATGATTAGTACAGAATTCATGCCCTTTCAGAACCAGATTTTGTTATATGCGATGAATGGATTTCAGTGAAATCATAGATGCTGTAAATAACTATTTTTAAAAAATCTATTAAATTATAAATTGATGTAGATATTAGTACTTGTAAATATCGATTTTATGCAGAATGATATTGTTAAAAGTAGGAAAGTAATGAAGGTGGAAAAGATGTTTGCCCCAGAACTCAAACCTGAAATTTTTTTATCCAATATACCTTTTATCTTGACGGATGTTTAAATATATCAATATGTAGTTTGTCTTTATTTACAAATATAGATGTTGTGCTTGTTCCTGTTGGAACTGTGTAGATTGACCCTGAGGTTCTGGTGCCTATCCACTTTACGCCACACCTCAGTCTACATTGGTTATTGCCCGGCCACCCTTATAAAAATTTTTTTGGCTACGCCTCTGTCCTCACTTACCTTGCTAATGTAGTCAAACATTTTGTGACGCTACAACCACAAAATTTGACGCATTTTGGTAGAGTCCAGGCTCGCACTGGTAATCTGTGATACCAGACATTTGCCGGTGGGCCGGTGCTAATTTCAGCGTCATACCGGCCCCAGCATTAACTCTCCGGCTGAAGCTCCTACCTGTGACAGTAAATAACCCAAGTAGCTCAAGAAGTAATACAATGTTAACTGCTTAAGCGATGCATGCAACATATATAGCCCTTCCTTGTCATGAACATACTTGTGACGGTTGGCATATGGTGTAATTTTTATTTCTTCAAACTGTAAAAGAACAAACCAAATTATGATAAAACTAAAATGCTTTCTTTAAATCAAACTACGATGTTGCTCTTATATTTGGCGAATTTATGTTCAAATATTTTGCAAAAATATGTTTGGGTGAATGATGGCGTTTTGCATCTAAAGGCTGGGTTATACTTCGAAACTAGGTCGTCTGCGTGTGTCGCAGTGAACGCAAAGACGTCCCCGCCCCCTCCGCAGACACTCTGCTGCACCTCTCTCAAATTGTAGGTGACCACAGAGAGTGCCGCAGACAGGAGACATCTGATTGGTCAATTCTACATATTCTTGCTGGCTTGTTTTGTTTTTATGACCGCAATTGCGGAAAACGACTTGTGAAGATGGACCAGCTAGAAGAGCGAGGTGTGCGAGAACGCTGGGACCCTTTTTTCCCCCTGGATCAACACTCTTTTTCGCCCTCATGTCCCTCCGTTGTTGGACTAAACACGCCCCCACTTCACCTCCTCTGCCGTATTTAGACCCACAGCTAGTTCCTGATTGGCCCTCTTGCATTGTGGCGTGGAATAATATAGCACAGACCAGGCTTCAATATTGGGCGTAAATCAAAAATGTCTGCGTCAAGCTCACTGTACACACTGCTGCGGGGAGTATAACCAGCCCTTAACGTTTCCCGTCTTGCGTGCATTGTTGCCAGGTTGGGATGTTTCCCAATAGGATGGCCGTCTATGGGTAAAAAAATTTTTTGTTTAGATTTATGGCCTAAGAGCTCCATAGACTTTGGTTCAAATTGGGCGAGGTTTCGTATATCCGGGTGGATTAATTTCGGTTGGAAAACATGAGTCGCTGTTTGTACAGTGACGGCGCTGGTACATGGGAATATGGTTGCTGCGCATGTTGCTTCAGTTATTGCTTCACTTCAGTGGATGGGCTAAAAATCATGGAAAGGGTTGGCAAAGGGGGAGCGGAGAAGATTCAGGACAAAAAGCAGATGCTTTAATATAGATCGGTTAATCCACAATGTGTTTTAAGTTTCAAACGCACACGTTTGACTGTGCTTCTATTTTTTTCCCGGGGGGGGGGGAGTGATTCGGGGTCTGTAATTGGCATGGTGTAAAGGGAAAAATGCCGGGACCGAAAATCGTTCCCAGTCTGAGCCTGGTAGAGTCCACTATGAGGTGGAAAGAATTTTTTTTAAATCAAAAATGGCTGAAAATATCAATCCAAATTAAATGCAGTCTTATGAGGTATATTTATACCACATATGATCATTTTTCTTTATGGGTCTTCAATTGCTGTGGTTCAGTCTAATTGGATTGTGATCATCTATTTTAGTAATAATAAGGTTTACATGATATTATCTATTGTATTTAACTGTAAACATTAACTGAGGCATTAATTTACCATCCCCACACTAGCTCTGTCCATTAGGTTGGAGATGTCCGGACAAAAGGTGAATCTTCCTCAGTTTATGCGAATATTCTTTATTTACCTCAATCTCCACATAACATCTGCTTGAAAAAGAGATTTCCACAGCATATTGACGGCATCACTGTATTTAGCTATTTTAATTGCAGCATGAATTGTTCTTCCTAATAGGGCCGAACGATTTTACCAACAATTGTAATCGTAATTATTTTCAACCAGTAATAGGATGGTAATTTTTTTTTTTTTTTAAATCTCTTTTTCCTTTTAGACTAACCAGCATGTAGATGATTCACTCCAGGGTCCCAGTTGTTTCATGATCTTGAAAGCCTTTGCAAAATCCATTGTTGCAGGTTTTTACTGTAACGTTTGTAAATGTGCTTGCTTCTACTTGCATGCTACTTGCTAGCTGGAAGTTACTTTGACCTTTTTTGTCGCAGAAACTTTCAACATATTACCATGACCTAAAGTGCTGGAGTGAGGGGAGGAAAAAGAAAAAATCTATTTGTTTTGTTAAATGTAATTCGACCAAAATGTAGTGCCTCTGCGGATAAACCCCCCAAAATATTTAGTTAAATTGCGACTATATAGCAAAGGGAAATAATTACCCAGCCATACCTCCCACCTACATTTCTAGTTATCTTTTGCTATTAAGCTCATTTTTGCTCTGTTTGCTATGTTGCCTGCATGGTATATTATAAAGAATTTGAAGTTTCTTCCAAATAAAAAAAAAAAAAAAAAAAAAAGAAACAGATTAGCGTACTGAACAGCTGATATTGGATCTGTCTTGTTGATAGAATCTCCAACCTGAGTTGTGGATCTCTGCTGGTCATTCAGAGAGAAAATGTGCCCCATAGCTGCTTCTGATGAATGCTTTAATTGTTTGGCCTGTCATTTAAGGTGGATTCCCTTAACCAGAGTGGTACCTTCATGCTTATAGACTTACACATGCTGTCCGTCTACTAATAACGGGTCCTCTCGGCAAGTGGTGCCCTTGAATTTTATCCAGGAGTACACCTGTGTAAAAAAAAAAAAAGAAGGCTGAATACGAATGCATGACACATTTCAAACCCTATATGTTTACGTCCATTTACAAATAGAACACTAAAAAATAAAAACCACTGGACTTTTTTCCCCCCCAAGTTTGAAAATGTTTCGCTTCTCATCCAGGAAGCTTTTCCAATTTAAAATGTCTGGAGTAGCATGGAGCTCCAGGCTTTTATAGAGTAGCCCAACAAAGCATTTTATGGCTTAGAAAATATGCAAATTGAACGGAAACAGGTACTGGGAGATCATTGTTGGCCTGCGAATTAACCCGAAACTGGCCCACGCTTCTGTAATGGCGACTCGTTAGGGTCGTTATTGGCCTGCCTTGCAGGAGTGATATTTTGACCACCTGCATGGCGATGAGGATTTAGGTGATAGTGGGAAATAATCAACTCTAAAGCTTTGTTATAGGTTTTTGAGAGCCAAAACCTGAGCCCACCCCTCTGTTCAAAGTTGGTTAATCTGTGTTTCTCTGCCAGATAAAATTAAATACATGAAAGTTTATGATTGTAAAGAACTAAAATGAGAAAATATGATTACTGTTATGTGTATGCTGATAAAAGGACGTAGTGATGGGAGTTTGATATATAAACCTTATAAAATGTTTCCAGGGCCTCTTAGTAGAGAAAAAGACCCACAGCATTACTGATACTGATCCACTTTACTCTACAGCTGAGGGGCTTTCCTACAAATTCATCATTTGTCTTAAAGGAATAGTACACCCAAAACATGATTAGCCTTCATTTTCTACTCACCCCCATACTGAACAACACTCTGGAGTACTTTTTTGATATCTCAAATGCATCTGGAGATCTGGGAGGCTTCTTGCTGTCTGCTGACATTCAAATAATGGAGGTCTATGGTGACCGAGACAGAAAGGTCCATAAAAGTCCACAAAAAACGTGTCAATATTCCTCCATACTGGTCGTCCAATGTATTCCAAGTGTCCTGAGTGGGTAGCGTCCATAATTTACTCGAAACTAAGTCATTTAGAATGTTTTTAGAGCATAAACAGTAGTGTATAGGATTTCCTAAAAGCGCGTTCTGGAGTCTACGGAAACCGCGGCAGACCAAACCAGACGAAAGTGCGCATTCAGCTCGGCAAAGAACTCATGCTCTTCCTCAACACTGAAGTCCTCAGACATTTTTCTTTCGTTGTTTCTTTCTTTGCACAGGTAAACAGCACATTTCTTCTTCTACGCTTGCATTATCGTCAGAGCAGACGCTGAATGCGCACTTTCGTCTGGTTTGGTCTGCCGGCTTCCGTAGCGTCGTGAACGCGCTTTCAGGAAATCCTATACACTACTGTTTATGCTCTAAAAACATTCTAAATGACTTCGTTTCGAGTAAATTCTGGATGCTACCCACTCAGGACACTTGGAATACATTGGACGAGCAGTATGGAGGAATATTGACACGTTTTTGTGGACTTTTATGGACCTTTCTTCCTCGGGCACCATAGACCTCCATTATTTGAATGTCAGCAGACAGCAAGAAGCCTCCCAGATCTCCAGATGCATTTGAGATATCAAAAAAGTACTCCAGAGTGTTGTTCAGCATGGGGGTGAGTAGAAAATGAAGGCTAATCATGTTTTGGGTGTACTATTCCTTTAAGCCAGAATCAACTCCCGTGTTTTGTTCTGGGGGGAAATAAAATGAACAAAAGGCTTCTGCAGAGAAAGCAGCTCAGTAGAAAACACATTATAGGAAGATGGATAAAAAACAAAAAACCCAAATCATCATGGAGCCAGCTGTCTGCCCAGAGCTGTTTCTGTTCTTCAGCAAGCAGAGGTGGTGGAGTGAATATTTGAGCCAAATTCACAAATAATCCACCCAGGAGGAATGCGCATCCAGTCTGTTTTCTGATGGAAAATAATCCACTTTTAGATGTTAATCATCAAGTATACTGACAAAACTTGTAGTTAAAAAAAAAAATCCATCCAAGAAGTCAAAGAAGCAAGTTTAATAATAAAAGATATTGAATAAATATTCCCATTTCAATGTTAAAGTGTAATGTCTTCCTTCTTCTGTTACAGTGGACCTGGATGATGAAGACCTGGACGACCTCATGAACAACAACGGCCAGTGCCCCGTCTCTCTGTCACCAATCTCCTAACTTCTCAGAAGTGCCAAAAAAAACACCCCAGAACAGAAACCCTCTTCCCATCAGCGCTCTTGGTCCCGAGTGTCCTCCTAGAGCTCCTGATGGCTCCACGCCGGCTCATTTAGTGCTGGCCGAAGCCTCCCTCCTCCTTAGGGGGGCCCTGATTGTACATATTATGTATCTAACTGCGCTCAGACTGTGAATGAATCGTACTGCGTCTCTCTCTGTACCTCTGTAGGTTATGGGCTGTCAGGATTTGAAGGTTTTTTTAAAAAAAAAACACAACTTTCTGAAAAAGGGCTTCATTGCTGCTGTTACACCTGACGTAGATGGCAGATGATCAGCCGGATATGTCAGACGACGGTTACTGATTCTCCGCAGGTTTGTCGTGTGAAGGAACATGAGCCTGTTAATGTGTATCACCCAGGGGAAAGTATAAGCTTTGATTGCGTCACACGGGCACAGATCAGAACAGTGTAGCTATTCTGCACTGAGGGAAAGCTCGCTACTTAAACTGAGAAGACTACTGCAAATTATTTATTGTTTAGAGAAAAATATAAATATATTTTGTTGTCCTTACTACTTTTTTTTTCTTTCTTTTTCTTTTGTACATTGTCATCCAACGATGAGATTAATGACGTTTCTCAGTGGTGCACTTTGTGGGAATGCCTGTCATGTGCTGTAACGTCGCAGAAACCAATGCATGAGGTCTGTGCAAGCATCCAACCTGTTATCCTGTGATTTAAGGGCTACGTAGTAGTTTTCCTAAACCAAAACACTGTTTTTGCAGAGCTTGTTTGTCTCCCCAGCTGCAGACTCAGCAGGAAAAGTTGTCACAATCAGCAAATTTTTTGCACTTTATTTTTTTTTTTTCTCTCTCTTTACATTTAAGGCAAATAGCCACGAATAATAAATCAGATTTTATTGCTAAAGGAATTCTGATTCGCATGCTCGAAGCTTATGTGTTATTTATGGAGTCGTATTTTGTTTTTGTCACAGCTTCTTTCAAAGTCAGGCACATTATTTAAAGCTTGTAATTATCGAATAAGATCATTGAAAAGCGGCAGCTCTGATTGGCCGTTACAGCGAAGGCAATCTAACATGTTTTTTTGGGGGGGGATTTTCCAGTGGAATAAGACGTAATGGGGCTTTAAAGGCTCGTGGTTGCGGTCGTGGTTCACTGCTGGTGGCTGTTTCACGCAGCGCCGCATTTCACAGCTCGGTCTCGGACTCTCAGACCGGCGTTGAGGTTGCCTTTTGCATGAAAGTAATCAACTTTTCATGATACTTCTCTGGAAATAAAAGTGTGAATCCTTATAAAGTCTCTCTTTTATTTCACAAACGTTACCATGAGCAAAAAAAACTTGTGTTAAATATTTGCTGTTTATTACAGTTTTAGTTCATAGGATTTGAAAATGGAGCAAATATTTGATTAATAATTATCATTAAAAGTTCCTACATTTGCTCTGATTATTTGAAAAACAAAATGATTGTTTCAGGGCAACTGCTGGGGGTGGCGATAAATATTGATTTTTATCATCAAACACAAATATGTTATTTCAAATATTGACATATGAGAGTGTTAGGTTTCACTTAGGACTTTTTGGTCACCTTTACCACAAAGGGCAATAAATTTTGTCTGAAATAAAGGTAGTTCATCTTTTTCAAATATCACTTCAGGTTTGATTTGTGCAGAATCCTTTTGGTTTTGGAACCAGTGTGCTTTACTCATAAGGATTGGAGAATTCAATTCAGTTTATTTATAAAGCGCCAATTCACAACACATGTCATCTTAAGGCACTTTACAGTTCACCAGATCATACAGTCAAATTGATTCAAAGTTTTCTATCTAAGCCAGGAAAACCAGTTGATTGCATTGACTATTTGATTCGAATACAATCCCTCACATTAAGCATGCTTGTAGCGACAGTGGAGAGGAAAAACTCCCTTTTAACAAGAAGAAACCTCCAGCAGAACCAGGCTCAGCCTGAGCGGCCATCTGCCGAGGCTGACTGGGGTTCAAGGAGACAGAAGCAGAGATACAAAAGGCAACTGTAAAATGCGGCCCCATCCAGTAAACACACAGCCAGGCAGACGAGCTCCGAGCCAGCTCCCATGCCAGAGGATGAAGAGCAATCCAGCCAGTCACAGTCAGAAACAGGACTACACTGGAAAAACATCTATAAACAAAGGTGTTGATGGCAGCAGCGCAGCTGATGGTGTCACAGCCAAATGGAAACAGACGAGGCAAAGCTACTATGAGAAAAGGCAGAGAGAACATAACGTTAGAGATTGAACTAACAGATTCTGCAGTGGGAGAATAGAGATAGAATGATGAAATGGGGGTCCCTATGTCTTCCAGAGGTCTAAGCCTATAGCAGCATAACTATAGAGATAGCTCAGGATAACCTGAGCCACTCTAACTATAAGCTATAAGAGAAGAGGGTGACATCCACTCTACCCTGCTAGGGGGGACTGAACCCAGTCCGTTGTATGGTGCACCTGCTGTAACACTGGACCACCTTATTTTTAATTTATGTTAAATGATGCAACACAAGACGCTGGACATAGTTGCTGGCTGTTGAGTCCCATGAGCAGTTTTACAATTAACCAGTTTTCCTCGCCTTCAGATTTTTCCACACTCTTTCCAGGACTGTAATGTGGAAAAACACAAATGCAAAATGGCCTCGTGGGGATTTTCCAGTTTCAACTCCAGACATGATTTCCACAGCACAGCGAGAGAGCCATGATCAGTGACCATTCCATATACTTTTAAATATACCCGTTATAAATTAAACTTGCCCCCTTACTGATCTCTTATATTTTATGATCATAAAGATGTTTCAGTATCTGACAAAGTTGAAGTGAGTTAATAAAAAGCACAGCTTTCAAATAGGAATTTTATTTCTTTACTGATCTAAACAAATCTGAAACTACATGGAACTGAACTGTTATGTTCTAGAATTTCTTGTGCAGGCAGAGGTGTTATTACTGCTGAAACCAGGGCTGGTTTTTGCTATAAACGAACATCTAAAAATGTCTTGATGATTATAATTGAAATGATTATGCCTTACAGATAATGAAATCCTCACATTTATTGTCCCTGAAAATTGTAATATTACATCAAATCTAATTAAAATGGGTATTTTATGCAAATGTCAGGCTATGAAAGTAATTTTAAGGATCATCTACACTGTTAGGTCCAGTGTCTCTTTAATCTGACATTAATCCAGAGACTATCCTTTAAATTGAGGTTAGGGTTTGCTTTCCGGTCAAAGTAACTCTGTGATCATTAAACCGTAGACAGTGTAGAAACGTGTCAAAGCACCTGGGGTCCTTTTTCTGCACACTTTTCCCTTCCACTCTACCTACAATGAATATGCTTGAAAACAACATTCAGAACTGACAGATTCTTGAGGAATGAAGTATGTTGCTTACCCTCTTTGTGTGACTTCTTCTGGACATTAATATATCCTTCCTCATAATAAAGGCTATAATATAGCAATAACACAACATCCTTAAATTGGTTTCATGTAATGGCTGAATTGTCTCTTCTAGCCAAAATCATCAAAATTATTTTAAAAGGCCCCTAAATATTTCATTCCATGTGTAATAAAATCCATATATGGTTTAACTTTCTGCAAAGAGTAAAAAATCTTTCTAATGTTATTTAATATCTTTTTAGGAAGCAGTTTTTAGCACCTGTACACAGACTATGCATAGCATGGGGCCTCCCCTACCACTAGTGGGCCCCAGAGCTACATTATAAGCCTCTTAGGAGGATTACAATTGCCACTATTATCCCTTTATAAGCTTATATACTGTATGAAGCATGATTATTTTCTAGTCTCACAAGCTGAGTTCCATGTTTGGGGTGTATTTATAATGCTTAATTTAACAAATAAAAAAACCCCCACTTGATTAGAAAGAATATATCAAATTACAACAGCTTGGGTTCATAAAAGTAACTAAAACTGAAGCACCCTTTGACTCAGTTTCGGCATTTATTTTTGTTTGCAAGGTGTTCTTTAGCATCCCACGTTTTGATTAAGCAAATTTTGCTCATCTGTATCTGTTGAAATCTTACAGAAGCTAAAGACAATGATTACACAGCTCTCCAGCTAAACTCCTGGAATCTGACTTGGCCTTTTCAAATAACACCTAAATAATTTCAGACCTTAGTTACTTCCTTAAATGTAGGCCAAAAAGAGGCCAAAGACCGTCCTAACAGATGCCAAAGAAACATGCAAATGATATTTAAGACTTTTGGGACAATAATCTTTTGAGTGATTAGATTAAGGTTGATATCTTTGTATGGTTTCCATCCTATTACTTCTGATGTAAAAGTAACAAAGCATTTCAGAGGGAGAAATTTACTCAGAAATTCAAGGATGATTTAGACAGAGTGATGACCTAAAGGCTTAAGTTCTGCTTTGGTAAAAAAACCTAAAGTAGGATGTCAGACTGTTACCTTAGACTTAAATATTAGACTTTTGTGTTATGCAGTTGGGCTATTATCAGAATTTGACCATTATGTTCCCTCAATAAAAGACATTTCATCCCAGCGCTGTGTGTCCCGAGTCCGTAACATCATATATTACTTCTCACACACCCAACATGGACTGTTCTCCCTGCTGCCCTCCGGGAAGAGACTTTGAAGAATTGGATGCAGGTCCAGCAGGTTCTGCAACAGTTTCTTCCCCACTGCCATTAGACTGCTGAATGTTTTGTAAAATGGGTTATTGTATTGCATTTTATTACATTTTATCATTATAAAAAAATGTTAGAACTGTAAATTTACAGTCGTTTTTACTATTTTTCAAGGCTGCACTTTTAAAAAATATGAAATTGTCCAGAGAGCTGTTTCCAAACGAAATTTCTTTTTGTTTTTACACTTGTGTAAACAAAATGACAAATAAAATCTGTCTAAGTCTAGGTAATCTAGGTCTATGTGCACTGCAAAAACGATCTAGAAATAAGTAAAACATTTCTTAAATTAAGTGTATTTATCCTTAATTTCAGTAGTTAAACAGGATGATCTGCCAATTAAATTAGAACTTTTACTCTTAAAATAAGATAATTAGATAATATGCACTTGAAATAAGACAATGCAATTGTTTTTTTCTTATTTTAAATGTAAATTGTCTTGTTCCGTTGGCAAAGTGTCTCACTAACCTCCTCAATTCAAGATAAAATGCACTTATTTTAAGAAAAAATTACTTATTAAGATTTAAATTTTTTTGCAGTGTGGCCTAGTCAAAGTCTGTATTCCAATCTGATTGAGTTGATGTGAGTGACCTTAAATAAACACTTCATTGTAGAAAGATTAAACAATTCTGCAAAACAGTTAAAAACAATCTTCAGCAGTGATGAAAAAAAGCATCACCAGTTTTCACTTATTAGGTGGCACAAAATAATAAAAATAATAAGATAAAAGACAAAGGGGCATTTAGATTCATTTGTCTTATTTGAACATTTCTTTGTCTCAAACGTGTCAGTCTGTTAAATGATGCAACACAAAGCAATTTACAACCATTACACACGAAATATGTCTGCAGTGTTTTTATTTCACTATGTTTTCACATGTTAAAAATACTCTTTTAACACATTATTCTGGAAAAAAGAGCCAGACTTTTATAAAGAACAGGAGTTACATCTCAGAGAATAACAGAGTAAAATCTACATAACCATCAAACTACAGACCCTTCAAACTTAAACTTAACCTTCAATGAAATAAATATGATTACAACAGGGGTAAAAAAAACAACAAATATTTCTAACAGTGTCTAAGAGACTAATCTAAAGAGCATTGAGTGTTGTTTGGTATAATCACTCTACACAATGAGGTCTGTGTGAGAAGTCACACCATGCTCACTGTAACATCTATTTTAGTACACACCGAAACAATAAAACACTGACTTATCATCACGTGGACAGAGCTGCAGCCTGCACACCACGGTGGATCTGATTACTTTCAATTACATGACAGGTGCTAATAACTGCTAGCTCTGACATACTGCTGCAAAGCTTGGCTTTAATCCATAATGTTAGGCTGCAAACCAAGGGGTCACACCGTAACGCCTCGCGTATTAAATAGGGGTATCCAATTATAATGTATTTGAGAAGACCAATTGTAAACAACTGCGGAATGTGTGGATGGAGTGAGAAAAGGCTTTGATGGGACGATTCAGAGCTGTGCATGATAATTAAATTCTCATTAAAGCCATGGCTGTGCATATAAAAGTAAAGTATGTCACATTTTTGTTCTCCTTGATTCTGTTTGCTACTCTGTCATCTTCGCTTCTGTTCCTCTGACACTATAACAAACTGAGGGGGTCATTCTTTCTTCTTCTTCTTGTCTTTTTGATACCCAGCAGTCCCAGCCAGCAGAGGGAGATCTCAGACATATTCCTTATTGCTGCTTGGAGGGCTGGAGCGAGAGCCGGCCATATTCGGGTACCTGGATACCTGCTTCTTCCTTGGACAGGAGGCGGCTAACATGGCCCCGCCCAAAACATCTAGAAGAGCGCCGCCCCAAGCAATGAAGATGGCGGCTCCAAATTCAAACCTGGGAAGACAAAAGATGACAGGGAAAAATATCTATTTGAAATAAATATAATTTTGGTTTACTTTTCAATTTCATTTTTTAAGGTATTTCAAACTGTTTCCATGCGCTCTTTAAAATTTACTCTGGCTGTTTTTTTGTTTTTTTTTACAAACAGTATACTTAAGTTTTTTATTTCATTTTCTATTGTCCATCTTTTCAAGTTCAATTTTGTTTTGTTCTGTTCAGGGAACTGATACTTCTTGTTCAACCCTACCTATTGCTTTAAGATGTCAATTGTTAATATTTGCTGCAACACATAAATATTCTCATTAAAATAAAGATTATTTAAGTCAGACAGGGCCACCTATGGGCAGACCTGAGCAGTTTAAACTCTGCTTAACAGTAACATGAAACTCTTGTTTTTTCAAATTTGCTTAAAAGAGGAAGCTTGAATGTTTCCTAAACAATTTTTTACAAATTTTAGAGGACCCCCATGTTCATGCTCAAACCCATCTTATCTGTTAGAGAAAATTATCTTTCTAATGACATCTAACATGTCCTTGTAACCCATCTTTCTCCGGATGTCAGATCTGCAATTGTGCATAATTTCCAGTCCCTGACTATTGCATACCTGGTTATGTAAACAAATGACTAAGAAAGAATGCTGTAAAAAAACAAAACAAAAAAAAACATTAAAAGTGCAAACATGCTGCAAAAAGAACACACTCCAAAAGGATCCTAACAAACAAAACACAAGCAAAAAATATTAAAAAAAATAAAAAAAAATGCAAAAACCTTGGTTGAGAAAGGCTGCAAAACAGCTGAACATAATGGAAGCCCTTTGGGGACATTATCATCAACTCATATATATCCAGACCCTTAGCAAAGACATAGACTGATTGCTAAGCAAGAATAAGTAGTGAAAAAAATTCAAAGGAAACTTTGGATTTACCTTTATCCCTCCAAATATCATGTAAAAGGCATCCCCTTTGTGTTTTTGCAATTCGTAGTAATGTCCATGATTTGGTACCATATGTGTTGAAGATCGTTTTCGCCCTAGTGGTTCCTAATATACACCTCTGTTATCTGGAGATAGTTTAAAGCATTTATAACCTTGCAGTTGTTTTTGCTACTTGTAGCATTTTCCTTTGTGTGTGTGTTTTTTTTTTTTTTAGCTTTTCTGTTAGTTAATTTATATGTTTACAGATCTCATCTTTGTATTTGCTAGTCTCATTTTTGTGTTTTCAAAATTAATATCTGTATTTGCAGAACTTTTTGAATTTGCTGCAAATTCATGCATTTGTATGACATTTGCAACCCTCAGCTTTAACTGATTCAGACCATTTTTCTACAGTTTCAGTCAAGATGTTAGTTTATAGAATCTAAGGCATCTTTCAAGTTTTGAAAAGGATTTTGGTAGAGTTCTGCTATTCTTATTTAGAAACCCTTTTTTGCGGGAATCCAATAATCAAAAATAAATCAGACATACTGGAAATACTATCTTTGTTTGTCTTCCGTATACACTAATTACCAAAGTTTTTCATTTAGGACTGATAAGTGATAGCAAGAATAGTACTTAAAAATCTCCTCACATTTAAAGCCAAAAAAGATAATTCCAACATATATTAGGGACCTGACTCTTCCGAACAGTACAGTATGTTCCAAACAAAATACTTCATTTTCAGTCTGCACGTTTACTAGTGGTTCTTTAAATTTCTCAAAGCAGGTGTTAGGAGAGGAGACGGGCATGTTAGTTATCAGGCACTTCTCCTGTAGAACCAATTTCCATTTGTTATATTTGAGGCAGATACCCTGTCTAAATTCAAGACTAGACTTTGCTCCTTGATAAAGCTTATAGTTAGAGTGGCTTACATTATGCTGAGCTATCTCTATAGTTATGCTGGTATAGCCTAAGGCTGCTGGAGGACATAGAGGCCATTTTTCCTAACTCTGCACATTTTACTTCTATTCTCACATTTTGCATTAATTGTCATTTAACTTTTACAAGCTTTTTTCAGTCCCAGAAACCCCATTCAATCCCATTAATTTCTTTAAAAAGACTCCCTTAAACATAATTTTTAACATTTTTAAACAGCACTTATTAACATAGTGTGTAAACATAAAGGAAGCAACAGGTATATAGCATTGACTTTGTTATTGAAAAAAAAACAAAAGCAAAACTAGACCATAGAGAAGGCTTTTGATGTTCTTACTTGGTGTTGACTGGAGTGTAGGGATTATAGAAAGCCCTGATGATATTGTGAGCAAACCAAGAACATGCCACAATGGCACACAGCCCTGCAAAGACAGAATTAACAGGAAAGATCAATCGTTCCATCAACACATCAAAATCCATGTAGACCCTGACTCTATTTTTATCCTCCTTACAGCCCATCAGTCGCCCACCCTGACTGTAGCACAATTCACCGTCAGTGTAGTCTTCAAAGTCCTTTGGACATCAGAAGTTAGAACCAGTGCCAGGGGTGCTGAACTCACTTGGTTCTTTGACCACGGAAGTGCAAATGAGTGGGAAGAAAGCTTTTTGGACATGGGATGAATGACCTCCAAGGTTCACTAACAGGCATCAGCAGAGTTGTATACATCTTTGATTGAATTACATGTGGTGCAAAGCAACAATTCAACTATTTGAACTTTTGCATATTTTTTCCCTTTGCAGCCACTAATGTCGTTGCTTTTTAAAAATGTACTCTATAAGTCAGGAAAACACAAAGCTGCCGATAGTTTACAATGAAAATAAAAACAGTTTTTAGATTTTTAAAAATATAAAACTGAAAAATCTTTACCCATCTTTACTTTGATACCCCTAGGTAAAATTTACTGCCTCCAAATCTTTTTTAAATGTCAGAATTACCAGTAGCCAGGTAAATTAGTATGTAGTTTTAGTATAAATCCAGCTGTTGAAGACCTTAGAGGGTTTCTAAAGAACGTGAGTGACCAAACGCCACTATTAAGATTAAGGAAAACAGCAAACAGGTTAGGATTTTAATGCAGAGTTTAGTTTTAAAACAGTTCAGAGACTGAAACATCTTGGTGAGATGTCAATTTATTATTTAAACATCAAAAGAATATAGTGCAATTGCAAAACTACAAAGACATGGCTGTCCATAGCTCCAGACCTTCAGTGCCAGAGTTATACATGATGTGTTCCTGCTCCAGTGTAGCTTATTTGAATGCTTGAACTGATTCTCATTATGTTATGAAGTTGTACAGAAGCCTAGGAGTGCTGAGCCAAGAAAATATCTAAATCGTGCATGTTAGCCATTGCACACCACATACATAAACTAGCAGGCTGGGAAAGGAGAGTTCTGCTTATAAAAGAGGACAGAGGGCTCATGGTTACTCTGGAGGAGCTGTCCAGATTCAGGTGTAAAACATTGTTGACAGGACATGTATATAGTACTTTAACATAGACTGGAAAGCTGGCAAGAGATCTTGCGTGGATGGGTGGAGCTAAATACAGGACCCTTCTTGCAGGAAACCTTTATGAGGCTGCAGATGGCTTGGGAATGAGAAGGAGGTTCACTTTTCTGCAGGAGAACCACCTTAAGCATACAGCTCAGATACGTTGACGAGAGCTATGAATACCCATTTAGACAACTTGAACCTCTTAGGGCTCCAAAGCACAGTTGTAGACACACCTTTAAGTTAGTGTGAATAGCTTGGAGCATCTTAATCCTCACCTCCAACAAGCAGAATAATGCCTCCTATCATGGCAACACGAGATTTGCGGAGTTTATCACTTCCTCCACAGGTGGTGCACTTCATTCCCATACAAGCCACACCCAGACCCGCAAAGGACACGATGATGCCAACTATCATCAGGGCACGAGTTGCCTGGAGAGAACCTAGAGATGTCAGAGTAAAGGAAACAAAAGGAAGATGGTGAAGTAGCTGTGTGCAGGTTATTCACAGGAAAGCAGTAAACAAAGGAGGCTTTTGTTCCATCAAATGTGTGAGTGAAACAAACATGGAGGCGATAATCGCAAAGTAAAATATCAGGAAAATAAATATATAAAAAGAAAAAAGATATGAAATCCCAACACAAAGTATCAGTGTTCCTGGAGGTTGAATTTTTAACAGTGATTCTGAGAGAAACCACGGGACACACATGAACACACCAACCCGACAACAAGGCTTTTTCACTTGAACTGAATCCCACCTCCTCATCTGTTAGGGCCCCCCTCAGCCTATAAACCTATCATAGGGTGAGGCCCCTCTTTGTCTAATCCTCCCCTCTGTCCACCTAGAACCAGTCTGTGCCAGCCTAGGCCATCCCTGCCTGCCCAAACAGACAAAAAACATCCAGCAGGGAGCAAGGGATGGAGGGAGAGGGGATATAAAACAGAATGTAAATCAGAGGGAAATGGGAAACAATAGGTTGAATTATGCAATAAACAAACAGCAGGATGTAGAGGTTTTATACTAAGGAGTTGCACTACACTGTTCTTATTATTTCTGATATAATAGCATTTTTGTTTCTAAATTAAGAAACAAAATTCTCATGCACATCGAATTTAAAGTTAAGGAAAAATTTGCACAAATTATAAGCCGTGAAAAAGTCTTTTCTGGAACTTTTTTAGATTAACAGTTAAAACTCGGATATTATAAAGGTCTGAACTGGTTCCACCATTGAAATGAAACTGGCTGGAATATTTATAATAATCTGTAAACCATAAAGGTTCAAGTCTGGAAACTGGAAACCTTACAATGAAGTGTAGGACAATAATTTTAACGTTTTTCATGGTGATGGGCTAAATGGGGAAGCCCAACACCGTCTATATAAGAAGTTACTGATCAAATGAGACAAAGAATCTGAATTTGTTCCCCCTCTGATAAACATATATTTACTTAACCTTGTCTAAAGGCTGAATTATCATATTTCTTTGTTCTCAAACATACGAGAAGCCATCTTGTCACAAACCTACTGTATGTCAGCTGTTTTAGAACCAGCCCAGCATGGGTCGACCAATCCTGCTGCAGTATAGCATACAGCTGTGAGCTGCATGGTGGAGCAGTTTGTAGCACTGCTGCCTTGCAGCAAGAAGGTTCTTGGTTTGATACCTGGCCCGGGTTCTTTCTGAATGGATTTTGTATGTTCTACCTGTGCATGCATGCGACCTGGCAAGGTTGTACCCCGCCTATCGCCTGTAGACTGCTGGAGATAAGCACCCTGATGGATGGATGGATGGATGGATGGATGGATGGACATACAGATATGATGAAAGCTAGAAGTGCCCACAGTGATACCAAAATAAACCGCACAGCAGAGGAGGATGTACTCATAGCTGCTGCTATGATAACAGTTTTGTCCAAATACATGATTTCATCTTTGAAAGAAGAAAAACAAGCAGCAATTTACACATTTCTGGCAAAGATGTTTGTGACTTTTTACTAGCTGACTGGAAAAAAAGAAAACCTGTGGTAGGCAGCCACTGGGTGTAGCTTCCCTAGGTCAGGTTGGAAGGTACTGCTGAATGTCCGTCCTTCCCCCAACAGTTTTGATGGGAGCAGGCCCAGACTGATAATATTCATAACTAAAGCAATAGTGCAACATAAGATCAATCTGGCTTAACAGGTTAAGTGGTAATGGTGCATTGAAAAAAAGTGGATTGAATAAAAAACAAAGGACAATTCAAGAGTTAACCTTGCATAAGCGATATGGATACTGTATAGAATTAGAATAAAACTACAAGTTTCCATCTAAAAAGCCTCCTGTTGAAAATGTTCACAAAAGGGAGGGATATTCAGTGCAATTCTTCAAGCTGATTGGGTAAATCATCAAATTTAAAGATTTTACCCAATCCCAGCAGCAGCTGTGACACATCACATTCTTGAATTGTTTCACAACTATTGGAGTTCACTGATAAACCAAACTCTTACAAAAAGTTGAGAGGAACCCATAAACATCTTTCCCATCAACAAAGGTAAAAATTGGATCCTTTTGCAAATTTTTCAAGAAGAAATGGATGCTATTCCAGCTAAAACTGGTACAGCCATCTTTGTTTTGCTTCAGCCTTCTGCCTCTGGTTGACACGTTTCTCTCATCCACGTCACTGCTTTTCATTGGTCCTTCACTGGTGAAAATACATCTTGCTCCTGGCAAGATGAATTTTCAGGAGTTTATAAATTCACAATTCTCATGACAATTCATATTTATTGCAAGGTAAGCTTGGATCAGCTAAAACCATAAAGTTTCCAAAGGAGTTCAAGCCATAAGATGTTCAAATGCTTAGAACTAAGGTTAAAAACCTGAATCTGGGCAAGGAAACCAATATTTTAAAATAAGTCTATAAATACTAAAAATGGAGCGCGGTGATGGTAAAGTTTTCCAAAGCACATGTCATTAGTGTTGGACCCTTTGGGGATTTGAGGGATATTTTTAACAAAAAGTACATTTAAAGTTGTGGATTAAAAGACCTGCGATGGACTGGCAACCTGTCCAGGGCTTACCCTCGCAATATCTCGCCTATAGCCCAGCTGGAGATAGGCACCAGCATCCCTTTCGACCCCACTTGGGATTAAGCGTGCCAGAAAATGGGTGGATGAATGGATGAAAAGGCAGAAGCAATCACTCTGTTTTCTTATTTAAAACAAGTCAATGACTAGTACACAGAATTCAGTGATGAACGTTTTTCAACCCTTTGCAACACACCGAAAAATAGTTAAATAAATGGCGATCAGACAAGGTTCCCATGGTCTTTGGAAGAAAAGCAAGCCCAAAGCACTAAAGGTTCTCCACCATATTAAAACATTAGGAGTAGATGTTTTTCCATGGATGCAGCTGTTTTACAACAGTCCAATCTGGAATATTTGTTTCAGGAAACTATAACATTATTCCCATTGGGCTAGAGAATATATTTCTAGTTTAAATTCCAACAGAGAATACTTCCTATTTACATTTTTGATGGTTGGACAGAAAACATCTCAAACTGTTCTTGCTCACAAACAGCTGTGTCAGCCGGGAAGAATGTTTAAATGATTTTGAATGGGGTTTGATCAATATATATATATATATATATATATATATATATATATATATATATATATATATATATATATATATATATATATATATATATATATATATATATATATATATATATATATATATATATATGTATATATGTCTGGTACAGTAGCAGCATAAACTTTGCAGGTTAAGTTTTTGTTATTCTAAGTGTTCATAGGAATAGATTTAAACCTCACACGCATCTGCTTTACAGTGGGTGGAAGGTTCTCCTTCTCCAGTTTTTCCCATTTAGGAGAGTGGCAAAGTGAAAGTGGCCTTAGTGAAATATAATAACAAATTTGAAATTATATTTTATTTTAAGAAAATAAAAGTTATGCCACTAAAATAAAGATACATCTATTTTAAGGCAATTTACAGATCTTGAACCAGTGTGCAAATAACAGTGGAAGAGGATGTATATTTATATATTAAAGAGTGTATAAATAACTACATGTTTTCAGTGAAAGTGCCTGGAAACAGTTTGTACAAGTCCCATATGGTTTCAGTGTCCAGATTTTGATAACAGCTTGTTGACAAAAGGCTGAAATTCTGAACCATGTGTTGAATGTAACACATCTAGACTTTCTGTCACCACCCTTCCTGGGAATCACACTGCATGGACACTGTGTGATGGACTGTTCAGTTTTTGAGGGTTTCAGAGACATGGCAATGGTGAAATTTACACATAACAGAATGTAGTAAAAGAGAAAACAAGATGGCACTATTCTCACAGATAATTAAACCTGATCGGTGTGGGCTATTGAGGGGTCTCATAAAGGAACAGGTGTGTCTCCAGGTGGGTTGAAGAACAACACTTCCATTCATATGTCACTGGTAAAAAGTCTTCAATGTAACGCCTTACATGTCTTTAGGTTCTGACTACTTACTTATGAACAGAATGTTATTCCTGCAGTCTTTTAAAATTGTGTAAATGAGTAGATCTGCAGGCTTTTCATTTTTTTTTTGTTTTCTGTTCAGTCTTTGATCTTTTACAGAGGAATGGGTTGGTTTAATGTAGTTTTAACCACTTATTAGATTATACACGTTTAAGAATTTGACTCAGAAAATATTAGCTGTCTTGCAGTTTGAAGGTTATCTGGATGTGAGCGTCAGTATAAACCTGGCTACTGGCTATAGTGTAAAACGGTCTGAGTTGTAGGTATGGCTAGAAATAGGCTTTACAAATTCAGTCAGTTCACCATTTATCCCTTTTTGCAATCCAAAATATGCAGCTTTAAGTAAATACCACTTTGCCTATTCTGGCACTCAGCCACCTGGACTGTTTAGATTTTAATCAAGTAGGGTGGATAGTGTTGCCTGATGAGCTATGAAACTCTAAGATGGCACGTATACTAAACCAGTGTTTTAGCAGTGACTTTATAGCCCCATTTTCACTACCTTTTACACACTGTGCCGAGATCGGTCCGAGCGCGGTAACCAATATAACTGTTGAGTGTAAATGGCACCTAAAACTGAACCGGACCAGACAGAACCGAACCGCACTAAACTGGTACTAGTTCATCAGTAGGGCTCGGCGCGGTTCAGTTCAGGCTTGAACAAAGAGCATAACAAAGAGCACATGGACAGAACGCATCGTCTTCTAACAATCAACCTTAGTATTAATGAAATTTCATTCACTTATTAATACCTTAATCCCATAAAACGTTCTGAGAATGTTCTGTCCGGATCCCTCAGCTCAGTCTGCTGAATGCTTGAACTAGCTACAACTGATGGTGGTCCTACCTATTTAAAAAAAAAATCTAATTTCTCCCAATTCCCCAATTTAACCACTTGGTAGTATGTTAAGCTTATAAATGCAGAAGTTACACACTTAGTCCTAAACTTAGAACTTAAAACACATTCAAAAATAAATTCATGTCAATCAGATATTGTTCACCTACTGGAGAGTATTGTTTTATCATTTACTAAATTAAAAGTTACACTATTATTGCTCCACGAAAAGGAAAATGAAAAATAATTAAAACGTATTATTTTTGGTTGACTGAGCTGGAAATAGTTTTTCTCTTGTTATTATTCCTAATGGGCTCTATGCACAGCTCCACTACTTCCTGAATTTAATGCAGCTCCTTTGTTTCCTGTCTTTCATTACTGGACGAATTGATTAATCCAGGTGTGTCTGGCCAGTTACTTAGGTCATACACACCTGGATTAATCAGTTCATCCAATCATGAAAGACAGGAAACAAAGGAGCTGCCTTAAATTCAGGAAGTAGTGGAGCTGTGCATAGAGCCTATTATTCCTAAAGAGTTGCGCAGAAATTACATTTTTTAATTATAACCATTATAAAGAGCACCTGACTGCTTCTGCTAACAGCCATAGAAGACAAACTAGAATTTTATAGAAATGACTATATGGTGTTTCCAGGTCTTTAGTTTTGTAGCTAATGAAAATATGACAAGGAAGGAGTAAAATGTTTAGCCTACACCAGACCATTAGATATATATATATATATTTATACCTGTAAATATGTTCTTAATAAAAAAAAAAGTGTATAAAACCACCATAAAGGTTTTTCTTTTTCTTTTTTTTCTCTTTTTTTTTTTTTTTTTACATATAGGCTATTTTTAAATAGCCTATATGTAAAAAACTCATCACACAGGTTTTTTTTTTTTTGTCAGATCAATCATGGCACTACAGGTGTTCCATATGCCGGATAAAACTAGCCCAGCGCTTACTGTCGAGCTGCAGGATGGAGTCATAGATTTTGCACTGCAGCTGCCCGGTGCTCTGGAAGGCGCAGGACATCCACAGTCCCTGGTACATGGCCACTGCAGTGATGATGTTGTCTCCGATGTAGGCAGACATCTTCCACTGAGGCAGGATGGTGCCGATTATCAGCCCTACTATCCCAACCAAAGACAGGAAAAAGCCCAGCAGCTGGATGCCGGAGTTGGCCATTCTTTAATTAAACTTTCCCGGCGTAAAGAAACGAGATTTTACCCCCTAAAAAAAGTTCACTTCCAAAACTTCCTTCGGATCGTTTGGGCTTAACAGCGCTGTATGCAGAGTCAGTGTGGAGAGAGAGGTGAATCCCTGAGGGTGGGTGGGCTTCCACGGAGGGGGTGATGGTGTGAAAGTGGGTGTGGGAATCCTGTCTGCTCCCAAAGGGCTGGTTCTTCCAAAATATTGTTGGCATCACACAAAATACTTGAAAAGTGTTAATAATAAATAGAATGAGTATTTTTACTCTTAAAATAAGATAATTAGATAAAATGCACTTAAAATAATACAATGCAGCTGTGTTTTCCTATTTTAACAGTAAATTTTCTTGTGCCACTGGCAAAATGTCACTTATACCTACTCAATCCAAGAACAAATGCACTTATTTAAATAACAAAAAAAAAAAAAGACTTATCTAGATTTTGATTTTTTCCAGTGTAGAAAGAATATAAACCATCATACAGGAATCTATTACACAGATTTAATAAAATAATACCTTTCCCGAGCTGAACATAGTGCTATTGTCAGTCCTTTCACTTTAGAAAAAATCTACAGGCGCTTATTTCCAGGTACTTAGAGATTCACTTCCATACAGAAAGCCCATATTCTATTCTTCAGCTACCACAGCATACATGTCAGATTAAATAATACTACCTATACTTCAGCGATAGTATCAAGGTGTTACTTTATTATATCTCTTATACTATATGCATTGGTTGTGCTGTTCTTTTTACATCTTTTTGCAGGTGATAAAGCAGACTGAAGATGTTTTATGGTTATCTCCCTTTCATCTCCTCTTTCTTTCATCTTTTCTCCTTTTTTCCTTTCCTGTTCTACTTTCATTGCAGTGTTCATATAATTTGTAATACTCCCTGCATGAATTATCATAAAGCTATTTATATGCATGAATCAAGCGGAACATTATGGCGATAGCCCTACTGCTCCACTTGTGAAAGCAAAATCTGTTGGGCTCTTTTTTTGGCATCAAGACAATTATTGTTATTGCCACATCGCCAGACAGGACACTGTAAAAAAACACTTAATTCAACCTTTTTTAAAACACAACAAAGCATAATACAGGCTAATTTAAAAAAAGAAAGTGTTAAGTACATTTGATAAAATAGAAAATGTTCTGTTCTTCTCCAAAGCACCTCACCCTACAGTCAGTCATTCCTCATACTCATAAGCACTTTCATAAACCGAGTGTTGTTTTAAATTTTATTGCACTTTTTCTTTTTTATGAACTGCTAAGTGCGTCCAGAAATCTTACCTTCGGTGTGCCTAACGTACTTAAAGGTATAGTGGAGGATTTTCGTGAATTTTTGAAGAAACACGCCCTCTCCACTTTCAAAGAAATGCACATGCACAACCCTGTACCCGCTCCCAAGAGGAAATGCATATTAAACTCATACAAGCTTATGTTCGAAAAGAAGATTTGTAAATTTTCCACTATGTTAGACTCACCACCGGTAAGTAAAAATAGGGATGAGCACGTAGGACGGCTTTATGTAAACATATGACCAGAATGATTGACAATTAGGAGGACAAATTATTTTGATGAAAAGAACTTCGTCCACTATACCTTTAAGTATATTTAATCTAATCTAACATATAGATACTGTAATTACAACTGATTTATAAACATATTAATTTGTCTGTAGACCTCCTGAGATAGCCTTGCCCCCTCTGCAGAGAGGAGAAAAGAGAAAAGGATGGTGAGAATCAGCTATATGACAGAAAGCAGAAGTACTCGAAGACTGAAGGATACAAAGAAGTATAAAGAAGTGAAAAAATATAAATATAAGTACTTTTCATGGTATGGGTGAGCTACCCTTCTTGCTGAAGGGCAAAAAAATGCAAATATTATTTGAAACAAATGACCAAATTCTCTGCATATTTTCCTTGACTGCACAATAAACCAATGCTATGGTTTTCCCCCTTGGTTAGTTCCAAGTTTAACAAGGTTTGACCATTAAATCAATCTTAACTGTGTAAATAAAAGATTCAAAATGCAACCGAAAACAGGTGGTAGGCTACTTAGCTAACAATGTTCTTTTGCCTAATAGCTCCCGCAGCTCAGTTCCACATATCGCACTCCCCCTTCTGCATTGTTTTGACCCTTCAGTTTCTCACATTCTTCTCCTTTCATTCTCTCCTCCTGTCACTATAACTCGGCTCCTTTCAGCTGTATCCAGGCTTTTGCTGTTGAAGGCAACAAATACCCCCATTGTTGCTGGGGAGAAATGACTGTGCAAGGAATTTGTTGCTCATTAAAAGAAATGATAAAGATCACGTTCCTTTTTTTATAGCTTTATTCTATTAATAATAATATAAAGTAGGATACCTCTTGAATAAAGAATTATAAAGGTCAAAAATAAACATTTAATAGCGGATTGGGAAGATGGTTAGGAGAATATGTGCAAATCCCAGCCTTTCCAGTGTTGTTACTACTGGAAACCTGATTTATATGACATTCTAATCCAAGTCTTGGGGGCCAGTGAAAGGCTCCCCACACCACCCTTTTCTACTTATCTTTTAGTTCTCCTTACCCTTTTCCCACTTCTTTGAAGGATAAACACACATTCGTCTTGGTGGTTTCGCCATTGCACAATGCCTGGAAGGGGCTACAGAAGAAAACAGCTAAATCAGTCTTAGCATTCTTTCAGGTGCCCCGCCGCCGCCCTCTGTGGCCTCCTGTGGGTCTGAACTAAGCAAGTACAGTACAATTCAATGACTAAAGTCTTTTAAGTGCCTGTGGAAGTCACTGAGGCATTAGCAATAAAACACTCTGGTTTTTCCCTGAAAAGGCTCAACAGAGGTGTAAATGAGGGGGACGGCGCCTGTCCTCTTCATGTACCCGGTCTTCTCCAGAACACTGAGGAATTCTGTTCTTGGTCTTGTGGCTTTATTCTTCTCATCTGTGACCGCTTCCCTAGGCGTCAGTACAGAAAAACAGGGCATAAAAAAATAAAAAACAAATCCTCACAGTACTTTCTGTTCTACGTATTAAAGTTAATGAAGTTTCTATAGCTAAATTCATTATTTTTATAGTTTTAACTTGGTTAATGTTTTTATCTCATTCCTGTTATATTCGTTTTGACACATTTTAAGTTGGGTTTAGTAAAAAAAAGTGAGAACATGCCAAACACAGTGTGAAGCTGCAAAAATTAGATGCAAAACACAGTATAAATTTACAACATTTTAACTTAAAAATTCAAATGCCGATTTCTATGTACAGAAGGAGAAAGTCAGCCTAATGAAGCTCCTCTGAGAGATTTCAAAGTATTTAATCCTGAGCAGTTTATATCTATAACACACTCAACTGGCAAAATATAATTTATAAAATCTGTCCACTAACATTTCTCACAAACATTCTGACAGAATTCAGAGAAATTAAAATTCTGCTCCAGTTGTGACCAGCATTATTATTTTTGACATGCTCAGCCATACATCAGAATGTCCCTCCAACTGAGGATGACCAGATTTCTGATTTGAAGTCTTTTACATTTCCAGCTAGGATATTAAATATAATAAAACATGTCAAAATGAAATAAGGAAAATGGGGCTGTTACAGTTTTGTTTATTTTACACGACAAGAATAAAAACAAGGGTATTTTTCTTCTTACTGCTGTTATCATTAAGTGTATAATGGAAATAGTAAAAGCAGCAGTAATACAGGTATAAGTTTTGTGTGTGAGTGTGTGTTCTTGTTTTGAATAGGTCAAAGTTTTTGGAAAAATAGCACGCTGTGGGGACGCCAAATATTTTTGGTGCAATGTTCATGTTTAGGACTAAGGTGTGAATTGAGTTTAGGTTGCGGTTAGGGTAAGGGTAAGTGTCATGGTTAAGTTGTAGAAATTAATGGAAGTCAGTGGGAAGGCCCTACAGTGAAACAAGTTGTGTGTGTTTGTGTGTGGGCGTGTTTTACCTGCAATGTGGGGACAGTGTTTTGTAAAATATCCAATATTGTGGGGACTTTCAGGTACATATGGATACATTCCTGTCTTGTTCATCTTCTTTACTTCTACCTCTGCTTCGCAAAACTCTTCTGTTTTTTGCTCCTTTTTAATTTGCACTTTAAGCTTCCTTCCTGTCTTACTCCATTCACTTTGTTATTTTGCATGGGAAATTTGGGTCATCTTAGTATAAACTTATAACATTTTGTAAAATATGATACCATAAATACAATATTTTGCAAACAACAACCAACTTTTTTCTTATACAGGAACCCATATAGCATCTACCTGTACCTATGAACATCTAGAGGTCACTATGCTAACTGCAATAGCACTATGAAGCACACTAATTCCTGGTTTTAGCTCTTTCCTTACTGTCAGACTATTCGGATTGCACTTGTTTTGGCAATTACTCATGCACTTCTGCAGTGGCTTAAGTATCTTTATCTATTTGCGGTAAGGGATTGAGTTATTCTATGTTATTCTGAATGATGCAAGCTGACCTGAATGGGCACACTGGAAAAACGATCTAGAAATAAGTAACATTTTCTTAAATTAAGTTTATTTACTCTTAATTTGAGTTGGTAAATGAGGTAGTTTGCTAATGGAATTTATATTTTTACTCTTAAAATAAGATAATTCGATAAAATGCACTTGAAATAAGACAATGCAGTTGCGTTTTACTATTTTAACAGTAAATTGTCTTGTTCCATTGGCGAAACGTCACTTTTACCTACTCAATCTAGATTTAGATTTTATCCAGTGCATATGCATCCCACATCAACTCTTTCCATCTTGGGTAGCTGATCACTCTGGCCAGCTGTTATCAGAATACTTTGATCGGCATGTTGTCCTGACACATTTTTTATTGGATTATTTATGCCATTGTAAATGGTAAAATCATTTTTTTCCCCTAATATGAATAATTTGATCGTGAAATTTTTTGTGTAAAGTTAGGTACAGATACGTTTTTTTTTTCGTGAGCAACATACAGGTGCTGGTCATAAAATTAGAATATCATGAAAAAGTAGATTGATTTCAGTAATTCCATTTAAAAAGTGAAACTTGTATATTATATTCATACATTACATACAAACTCATATATTTCAGATGTTTATTTTGTTTAATTTTGATGATTACAAATGACAACAAATGAAAATCTCAAATTCATCATATCAGAAAATTAGAATATTGTGAAAAGGTTCAAAATTGATGGCCCCTGGTGCCACACTCTAATCAGCTAATTAACTCAAACCACCTGCAAAAGCCTTTAAATGGTCTTTCAGTCTAGTTCTATAGGCTACACAATCATGGGGAAGACTGCTGACTTGACAGTTGTCCAAAAGACGACCATCGACACCTTGCACAAGGAGGGCAAGACACAAAAGGTCATCGCTAAAGAGGCTGGCTGTTCACAGAGCTCAGTGTCCAAGCACATTAATAGAGAGGCGAAGGGAAGGAAAAGATGTGGTCGAAAAAAGTGTACAAGCAAGAGAGATAACCGCACCCTGGAGAGGATTGTGAAACAAAACCCATTCAAAAATGTGGGGGAGATTCACAAAGAGTGGACTGCAGCTGGAGTGAGTGCTTCAAGAACCACCACACACAGACGTATGAAAGACATGGGTTTCTGCTGTCGCATTCCTTGTGTCAAGCCACTCTTGAACCACAGACAGCGTCAGAAGCGTCTTGCCTGGGCTAAAGAGAAACAGGACTGGACTGCTGGTGAGTGGTCCAAAGTCATGTTCTCTGATGAAAGTAAATTTTGCATTTCCTTTGGAAATCAAGGTCCCAGAGTCTGGAGGAAAAGAAGAGAGGCACTTCATCCACGTTGCTTGAAGTCCAGTGTAAAGTTTCCACAGTCAGTGATGGTTTGGGGTGCCATGTCATCTGCTGGTGTTGGTCCATTGTGTTTTCTGAGGTCCAGGGTCAACGCAGCCACATACCAGGAAGTTTTAGAGCACTTCATGCTTCCTGCAGCTGACCAACTTTTTGGAGATGCAGATTTCATTTTCCAACAGGACTTGGCACCTGCACACAGTGCCAAAGCTACCAGTACCTGGTTGAAGGACCATGGTATCCCTGTTCTTAATTGGCCAGCAAACTCTCCTGACCTTAACCCCATAGAAAATCTATGGGGTATTGTGAAGAAGAAGATGCAATACACCAGACCCAACAATTCAGAAGAGCTGAAAGCCACTATTAGAGCAACCTGGGCTATCATAACACCTGAGCAGTGCCACAGACTGATCGACTCCATGCCACGCCGCATTGCTGCAGTAATACAGGCCAAAGGAGGCCCAACTAAATACTGAGTGCTGTACATGCTCATACTTTTCATGTTCATACTTTTCAGTTGGCCAACATTTCTATAAATCCTTTGTTTTTATTGGTCTTCAGTAATATTCTAATTTTCTGATATGATGAATTTGAGATTTTCATTTGTTGTCATTTGTAATCATCAATATTAAACAAAATAAACATCTGAAATATATGAGTTTGTATGTAATGTATGAATACAATATACAAGTTTCACTTTTTAAATGGAATTACTGAAATCAATCTACTTTTTCATGATATTCTAATTTTATGACCAGCACCTGTATAGACTTAGTAAACTGTGTAGACAAAAAGAAAGTCGTATAGCATTAACCTGATAACAAGTCCTTTAAACTATTTCCTTATTCAGGAATCACGTTATATCAGATGCCTCTCCTGATTCAACCAGGATTCAGACCCATGTTCCCCAGGTCAAATATTTAAACCATTACACCACGGATGAATAAACCTATAGCCCTTTGAATATTGTTGTAAAATTTGAAATAAGAGTACTGCAAAAGTGAAATATTATTAATATTTCTTTCCCATACAGGCCTTATTATTGCCGGACATGTAAAATGAACTTTCTCCATTTACTGGAGTTGCCTTTATAAGCCCCATTAGTCAATTCATATGAGAGTGATTAAGGTCATATTTGGGTTATTCTACTCCAACTTTCTTACTTCAAAAGACATTACTGCTCAAAACCCACAAAAATATACGAAATCACTGCGGAAGATGTTTTTCCACATTTCAGATGTGGTGCACAACACTGGTGTCATTGCCACTTATCGCCAGAGGGGGCAACCTTCTGCAAAAAAAATGTGGATGCTCTTTTAAAAAGCTGATCTATTTTAGAAATGCCACAGCAGTCAGAGTCCTACAAACTTCCATTCAGTTTAAAATAATTATAGAGATGGTGAAGGAGTGTAAACACTTTAATGTTCACTTGGACAACAGACTGGACTGTAGACACAATCTTAAAGTAATCTAAAAGAAGGGACCGAGAAGGCTGTACTTTTTGAAGAAGCTTTGGTCCTTCAGTTTTTGCAGCAATATACTGCATATCCTTAGGCATTTATGGCAGTTGATGAAAGCGTGGCATGTAAAGAGGATTAACATCACTTGTAGCATGCAACAGTATATCCACTGGGTTAGAGACAGAACGTTGATTAATTTTACATGATCTGCAAATGTACTAACACTAAAACACTTAAATGCTCTAAAAGATTAGAATACATTTCTTTTAAGTTATTTTACTGCCTTGAAATATGTTTCTGGTTTTTGTCGTACTTTTTCTTTATGACTTTATCATTTATTTATATATGTGTATATATAAGCTGTTATTGCAGTGTATGTTCAGTGGTAGATGGTGTTTCATTATTTCAATGTTTGGAACAAAATTAAAGTTGCATTTTAAGGTACACATAATCTACAAAAAAAAAAAAAATACCCACATTGAAACATAATGCAATACACTCTGTGGTTGTTTTTCTTTTAGCTGAGGAGACTTCAAACAAGTCGAATGATTTATTGAACACTTACAAATATCAAACCATTTATTTTCAGTCTCACAGTGAGCCAAAGCACATATCTAAAATAAGACAAGAATAAATTAATGACAGAATGTAAATATAACCAATTTCTAAAACAAGAATCAGACAAGAGACCAATCAAATGCTTTTGTTTTTTTAGTTCAATAATACAACATTATATAGGTAAAGCAATTGAATTATGTAAATATTGTTTTTTTTAGCCCAAGCAAAATAGCTTATTTCAGCTTATTTTATAGATTTCATAGTTTATTTTAACCAATCTGCTTTACAAAGTATGTACATGCATCTAATCTGATTCCCTCTGCAGCTGCAGTCTCCACTGGACACCCCCTTACTGTCCTCTACTGGCTAAAATAGAAAATACATCCACAGTGTTCTGTGAAAGGTTCAGTTTATTCTACATGACTGCAAACGTCTATAAACACAAAGTTCAAGTTTTTAGAATCATAAAACCAGACTGATCACATAAATAGATATATAAAAAGAATTATTAGAGTTAGGATCTAAATTTGGCCTCTTTTTGTTTCAAAGAAGAGCAACTTTAGAATACAAGTTAACCAAACTGAGCACTTGGTCAAGGGAAGTCCAACCAGGGGAGCAGAGTTGGGACAGCCATAGAGCGGATTTAAGGGTCTGCCTGTTTGCAGAATGCTGCCCCCTATGGGAAGGGGTTGTCTGGGGTGTAATTAAAACTAGCATCCAGGAACACTGCTAGGGTTCCCAGTGTGGTGATGATGACAAATAGCCACAAGAAGAGACGGTCCACCACCAGTGCGATGTACTGCCAGTCTCCTGTCATCTGGAACAGAAATCAGAGAAATGCTTCCTGTAAATGCTGACTCAGCTCTATTCAGTGGCACATGACTGCAAATCAGTGTTGCTCTGGCCCTGGATGCCACACGACCGAACACTCACTGAGTCGTCTGTGTCCTGCTTCTTCAGCTGCTCGGCTATGTAGGTCACAGCGTCGATGGCTGACTTTAGGTTTGGAGGAAGGATTAGGCAGAACCGGTCTGAGTCTGGGAGTCGCTGGAGCTGCACTGTGCTTTCACACCTGAAATGAACGGTTTCAAAGCGGAACTTTTAGGTCTTTATCCAAACTTTTCTTGCTTTAAGATTAAAACATAAAATCTGTTAATTTTGTATATCAGTTCAAATATATAGTGTATTTTATATTCAACAATTAAAAGCTGATATCTAAATGATATCTAACATTTTCTTAATCTTGTTAAGTAAAAATTAGACCCACAATAAGGCTGATTTTCAGAGCCAGTTGGCTGTTTGGTCGTCTGTTGTTACTACTATATTAATGGTGTCTAACAGACGTTAGGATAATAGAAAAGAAGAATATCTCATAAAATGCTGTATTCTATTATGTCCTCTATATACAGCTATAACTTGAATAAAAATTAAATTATATTTGTTTAGATGGTGCTTATTCAATACATTTTAAAGGGACTTAAACACACACAAAAATCCAAACTGACAAAAAAATAAGTCAAAATAAAAATAACGACTATACAGATTTTTTTTTTACTGTTTAATAAGACTGATTGTTACCTATTTAGGTCATAAAAAAATAAAAAAATGTCTTTATTGTCACACAACAGGGAAAATGTGTGTTGCATATAATACACAGACGACGAAAAAAAGTTAAGCTGTACAGCAGAAAAAAAAAACCTTAGAGGAAAAATATTTTTCAGTTATTGAGAATGAAAAAATGCATATTTAGCAAAAGAAAAAAAGAGAGAGAAAACTACAACAACAGCCAGATAATGGGACAATGAGAAATCAATGTAACAAATATCGTTTAAAAAAACACACCCATATATGACATCTATGTTAGTCAACATTTATAAGACACATTTGAAACAGTGGCAATGATTATTGACCAGTTAAAGAATTTGTGCATCTGGAACCTTGTTTGTAAAGAGTTATTTGGCCTGATGGGAGCAGCAAAGATGATAGGGTCTCACAACAGTTAGAAAGAAGGATCTGTGGACATGCTCCTTTGTGCATCTATGATCTAACAGACTGTCAACAGATAAGCCATACAGCTCTACTGGACTTCATGCAGAAAGATATTTTGGAGACAATTTGTAACAAATGTTACTTTTCATTTCTAAGATTACATAAAAAGGGCATAAAAAACAGCTGAGAATAAGAGCGTTACAAAACTACCTTAGCCTTCCATTTTTTTTAACTATGTTAATACAATTAGTTATTTGTGCCTGTCTGAGCTAAATTAAAAAATATATAAAAAATAAATGTTGGTTTTAGAAACTTGGCTGAAGGTCGAGCTCTAAAAAATGTTATGCTAAAACGGAATTGAGCATATCAGGTTAGGACCTACAGTATAATTCTGTCAAAGTTAGCATATTAAATATGATGAGTTCTTCTATCAGCTGACTGAAATCTTTTAATTGAAAATTGACCTAGACAAAAAAGCTGACCTTACATAAAACCTGATTACTTAAAATAAAATTCAACATATAATAAACTCACTTTTGATTTGAAAAGTATGTAATAATAGGATTTGCATATTGTAAGATTTTCTTTTTTCCACTTGCCCATTAAGGATTTTCAAAATAAAATGTTTGAATGCAAAGCTAAGATTCGTCACAAGTCCTAACATTACAAGCATAATTCCTATTTTTATATATTTTCTATATATTTATTTTCTATATGTTTTATATTTATTTATATTTATATGTTACATAGTTTCTAACTGCTGAATAAAGTCCTTTTAGGTATAACTGCCAGCCTGCACTGTTCTTACATCTGCATTATCCACAATATGCGCATGAGACAGGCCCCTTCACAGGTGCTCTATAAGATGTGATTTATGTCATGACTCAATAGTGCAAAGTGTTTTTCCACTCCACAGTCACATGCCACCAATGACATTGTCTTTCCCGCAACAGACAAACATTACAAACTTAGTGTTACATGCAGTTGGTGACTATGGGGCAACATCTATGTGATGCAATGACCTCTGAACAATTCTTCCAGTCACAGATGATAAACACCTATATATAGATATAGTTTGAAATAGCTTTTTTGGGATTAAAAATATCTTAATTCACATTATCAGAAATTATCCTGCTTTTGTTCTTCTAAAAATTATTTATCAAAATTTAAACATGCTACATTTTTGTAGCAGAATTGAAGACTTTTCATAACAGGAGACAGCCATCTGTTTTTGAGTTTTAATGGTATTCCTCAAATAATCCCATTTTACTCTATATCTGCTATGTTCCCCTCTAATCCAATCTCCCAGTCTCTTGTTAAGCAAACTCATCTCAAGAAATGACTGATTCCAATCACCCCACTAAGCATTTGGTGGATGTCATTGATGCTACTTTACATCATACAGACTATAGTTGCATGGTGTATATAAAACTAATGACTTAAAATTAAAAGTCAGGCTAAAGAACTTGTGCAATTCTCCCACGAATAAACAGCAGATATTTAGGTCAGTTTACATGAAACACAATAAGCTTTCCAGGTTTTACTCCACTTCTTCATCACTCGATTCCTAAAACACTGGAATTTCTTTGAATGCTTTCCAGTTGCATGTGTGCAAGCACACCTGTCACAGTGGAGCCATCAATTATACATTGCGTGTTTGTAGTGTACAGTTACATAGCGTGCATGCTGGTAACACTGGGCAATGAGTATGGCACCAGCAGGAGGAAGGCGTCAGAAGAGCCAGACAAAGGGAGACAGTGTGACAAACATGGACTAAATAAATGAAGCAGCTGATTGAAGGGGGGTGTGAGTACTTGTAGGTTAGTGAAAAGGAAGGGTTAATAGTGTGTGCAACATACTCTCCACATTCAACACTTTGACAACCTAGTTTTAGGTTGAACCAAACCAGTTTGACTCTAATGTTAAAAAAGTGGTGACCCTATCAAGAACGATCTTATTCAAAACAAGGAGATATTTTTGAGTGGGCAAAATATTTTCCAGCGCTTATAGGAAATAAGTATACCCAAAGCGATTAATTTCTACTGAAATAACTTTCCTCTAACTGTATTGCAAGATATGGCGATGAAAGCTGTGTCTTTCTTCTCTATCCAATATCAAGCCTCTTGTGCCCCTATCACTCAGCAATGGCAATCATCTCTCCCTGTCAGATCTTCCCCCATCCTCTACCTCCTTTCTGTGGGATTACCCCCTAATGCCCAACCTAAATAGAGGCTTAGTGGCTGGCGACTGTGAATGGGAGTGTGAGGCTTAGCTGAGGCTGAATCTGATGCTGCTGTAATGGGACGAGAGATGCCTAGAAACCAGGCTGGGTTCATAGGAGAGCTGAGATGTTCTTGTAGCCAAAGGAGAGTAGCAAGTGGAAGCAGTTGTGAAGTATGAGTATGTTTTACACGTGTGGACTTTAGGCAATAGATTTGGAGTACACTGACATGACAACGGTGCATGTGTGTAAATTAAATTCAGTTCAATTAAAATATAATAAAAATAATTTCCTAAATGGAAATTCAGTTTTGGTACAGCCGGTCCAAGTGGGGACGCAGTGTCCGAGGCCCTGCTGCCATCAAACAAGGGACAGTACTACTGAGCAGCACAGAACTTTAAAGTACAGTTAATTACCTCTGACTCTGTAACAGGAAGAGCAAAACAATGAGCTGCTCACTCTGTCAAGTCATTAGAGAAAGCTGTGATGCTTTAACTGCAGTTAGAACCTGTCTTGGGTCCGTTCTGGAACAACAGTCAGAACCAAGACTTTTCTTCAATGGTTTTGACAATATGACGAGTCTTTGCGTGGCAGATACCTCTAATCTGAATAAAGACTGATCCAGGTAAAAGCAAGTGATGATTAGATTATTTGATTTTGAGCCCATACAAATTTTGCATTCAGATTATTATTCCATCTTCAATCCGTGTATATTTGGTAAAGATTCAGATAACACCTGGAGTTTGTGATTATATGTGTACATTAAAACAATGTGCAAATGAAATAAATAAGAAAGTTTCAAACAAATTCCCACATGTACAAAGTCTAAGGAATCTAATAATAAGAGGAACTATACACTCAATTCAAACCTTCAAGCTAAAAATGAAACAACATAACCGTACCTCCCTCTCCAGGGTAAGACAAGGTCAGGGTTGATCTTGCGAAAGAAATACTCTCCTCCAGGCTGGTGTACAGTTAGACCTCGGAACGTTGTGTCATCCTTCTCTGAATCCTCCTCCAGTAAAGGTTCTTCTGGGTTTGGTCTCATCATACCGATGTATCTGGGCAGGATGTGAATGAAGACCTGTAAATTTAGGTTTAAGGATCAATTGAAGTTGCATTTGCACATAAATTTTGAATTAGTATGGGTAGACGCTTTATACCTTTCTAACCCAGTTCGGCATGATGTGGGTACTAGGTGTTCGGTGGTGAAGGTTGAGGACCACCACACTCAGGATGACAGAGAAAGTGACCAGGATCATGGTGAACATGACGTAGTTGACGATGATAGGGATGCCAAGTGAGGTCTCTGGGACTCTGTCGGCCAGTAGCAACATAAAGACCGTCAGAGCGATGAGGACAGAAATGGACAGAGTCATCTTCTCCCCTGAAAGATGGAAAATGGAAAGAACAGGGCAGAAAATATTGAGGATTCACAACAAAGCACAAAAACCTTCCGACATAAGTACAATAGAGAGTTTTCTAAAGAAATAATAATTTAAACCTTATAATGTGTACATATTGGTTTCAAAAGAGAGAGAGTCTGACTTTAAAACACCCGTTTTATTTATCCATACCTACAAAATGTTGTTCTTATTCTTGTTCTGATGATCAAAAAAAACTCATACAAGCTATTGTGTAGATAGCTGTGAACTAATGTATGCTAGAGAATGAGATGCTATGAAAGGCTATACTGAATCATACATTCTCTACCTTTAACCCCTTAGCTCCCACCTTTTTATAGCTTGTGCGCAAAAATGCTAATTGCAAACTAAAATGCCATTGGCCAGTGAAATGATATAATAAATCACAATTGCTTGTGATTTGTCTCATTCAAAAGCTATAGTAGTAGCCATTCAAAATGTCCCCACTTTCCTTGATGGGCCATTTGCTGGTACTTGGCTGATCCTTGGCTGGTCCTCTACAATTGCTTTTTTAAACATCAATCTTTGTAAAAAATGCACGCGCAAAAGAAGGTCGGTGGCTGGAAGTTGGAGGGGATTTAGCTGGAAATCGCAGGGGAGTGGGCTGCTATTCTGCTTTCATTTGACTGGGATGGGCAATTTTTAATGGCTGCTACCTGAAATCTTTTAGTTTCAGGTGATATATGTACACACTGTACAAAATTTACAAAGCTTGAGCTATTTAACAACAAAAAATATTTTTTTTTCCCCTAGCAGAAAAAAAAAGAACCTTTTTATTTTCCATATTTTGGGTATGGTTCATAGTTGACATCTCCAACTATTTACAGTTGTTGTACATGTTGAAAACAATACTTGTTTAAAGTTTCATATCTCCAGTGATAAGCATTTTGAAACTGTGACATTGTAAAACTGTTTGTGTATCCAAAAGATCCATTTGGAACAAATGATCCAAAGTAGGTGTCAGATCGGATTATTCAAATTTTATGAATAATTCAACCATTAAAACACATTTCTATTTGTAGCTTTACAAACATTTTCATTCAAGAACTTTTTTTTTTAATAATATTTAAAATGTTTAGCTTTCAGAATTTTGACTATGCTCTTTTTGTGCGTATCCAATTAATTTATCTGTCCTAACTCTTTATGCACATAAATAAACGCTATCTTTTAAGCCCTTCAATTCTAATGTGCCACTGCAAAGCTTATCCTATTCGCTAACAACATATGTCAGTCAAAGTTTGATCTGTCACCGGTTTGTGGAGTTCCCGCTATGCAAAACTAAAGTGATGCGTGCATCTGGGTTTAAGCCTCTGATTCACTTTGACCAGTGGTTTGAAAGCACTATGGTCTTAAAGGTAAAAAGGCCAGATTTTCACAACAACTAACTCATTCTGCAGCCTTATAAAGCAGTTACATTAAACATATGCCGCTTAAGATTCTCCAACATAAAGCACCTTCTTCTGTACTTTCATACCAAAGCATGTCAAATAAGCTAACCTGCTCCAGGAGGAAGGTAGAAGACAAATATAGCTAACACACTGGTGAGGATGCAGGGGACAATGATGTTAATGATGTAGAAGAGAGGTTTCCTCTCTATGATGAGGTAGAAGGTAATGTCTTCATACAGGTCATCCCCAACATTCTTTCTGCTTGGTTTGTGACGGATGGCCCACTCTCCATTCTCTGCAGAGGTGAAGAAAACATTCCAGCATGTTAGGGTTAGCTGGATTGATAATGCTGTATTAATATGGCTGTGGATAAATACTGCATATGTTTGGAAACAACCTGTGAAAGCATTCTTATCGATGACAATCTCCTGGATATCTGCCCCACTTTCATCAAGATAGAACTGCAAGTCAACTTCTGAGGCGTCATAGGTGTACGAGCGGAAAACCATACTGCAGTTTTGCCAGTCGAATGGGAAATATGCCACCTATGGACAGCAAAATTGAGGCAATCAGCACTTTATGGTTAATTTCTAAAAAAGTTTTTTTTTAATGCCAGTCCCATTAGCTGTATAGGATCTGATTACCACGGCTATGCTTATATGATGGAGGTTAGTTATGTACCTCAATGGAGCAGGAACTGCGGTAGATGGCAGGAGGCAACCAAATGACCATACCATTACTGTAAACCAAGACGTTAACGTACAGAGCCACATCGAACTGCCCATCGTGACTGTAAGAGAAATAAAGACAAAAGTGAGACTCAATTTACAACTTTCCCACCTCTCCTCTAAGTGGATGAAACAGACATTTAATTATTGAAATCATATTCAGACTATCTGTTGGGATCTGTTTCTTAACCTGCCATTTCCCTCAATTCTCCCCTAGGTGACGTCAGGGGGTTTGGTTGGCAGCCCTGGTTGCAGCAGGTCCGTGTAAACAAAGCAAATCATCATCATAAGTGAATCTTTAAAGGAGCCTGCAGCCAGTGATTGCCTAAGTTGTAATGTCGAGCCCTCCAAGTTCCAAAAGCTGTGGATGTTTGGCTTGCGTTAAACTCAGATCACTGTGTTCTTTACTCTAAGGTACTTCTAGCATGAATATGGATTCTGATCCAGTCCTCCTCCTGCCAGATTATGTCACCTGCAGCCTTACTGATCAAAGTTCTGGATTCTTCAAACAAGCCCCAGGCTCCTTGCTCCACATCCTCCAGTTCTCCTTCAACTGGTTCCACTGACCATTTTGCTCCTTGGGATTTAAACCCTCAACTGTGCAGAACCTATATTTCTTAGATTCCCTCCAACCCTCCAAGTTGGATCATCTCCCAACCTCAGATCCCCATCATCTTCTTCAAATAAGCGTTTCTTCAACCTCAAATTTCACCTGTGCTGTTTGTCTCAAGAGTTCCAACCTACCTGACGCCTACAATTGGCCGTGGAACCATTCCTACCATTCCCAGCTATTCCTCTGTTCAGTCGGTTTTCAATGAAACCTTAAACCTTTCCCAGTCTCCTGAGTGTTACTGCCTGTTGGTCGGATACTTGCCTACCATTAAGACACTAGCCAAAACTACTGGAGTCAAAGTATCGCAGGGTAGGAGTCACACTTTTTGAAACGCCCAATACTTTACATTTAGTTTTAGTCTAGTTGGCAATACTCTTCACAATTAGTTTGTAAATATTGGCTTGAATAGAGATTAACTTTACTCTTGGTTGAAGGCAACTGAACTCTTAGTGGCCAATAGCTTTAAAGTAGCTGTCAGCTTGAGCCAGACCACCTGTATGCCTTACTCTAAGCTTTGTGTTATTTCTGACAAACTGTTAGTTTGACACAGATTGCTGCAGGTAAAAGCCAACTGACTGGAAGCTTTGGACTGAAAACTTTATAGCATCACTTTAAAAAATGAAAGCGTAAAATAGGGAGTTATAGGTATGCAAGTCAAGTTCCTCTTTCTAGGCTGTTCTGGAGATTGTTCTCATGGGGAAAAATGTTTATCTTGAAAGAGGCTATAAATGAAAAAAAAAATATTGTATGCAGTGAATTAAATGTTCTGCCTTCTAGATTAATGATTGTGTTGTTGGCAATGGGTCACTCACTTGTTTATCAGGTAGATGTCAGGACGCCACACCTTCTGGGGAGGAATTCTCAAAACTGCAATGTTATCGTACTCCTCCGGGTTCCATGACAGCCTGTAGTCTGTCCAATTCTGGGAAGGACAGACGAATAAATAGAAGACAGTCTTTATGTGCATAACCTGTATCAATAAAGATTCTAGTCAGAGATTTAAATGGCAGAAGTTAAAGATATCAAAGTGTTAAGCTTTTATTTAAGGCAAAGGAAAGGTTTTAGAATTAAGGCTCGGCATCCATACCAGATTCATGAACACGTTTGTTGTCATCTCGCTGTTCTTTTCATTCTGTTTTGGGACAGACAGGAAAGGTTGATGTTACAGCCGCTAGCGTTAATGTCTGAACTTGATATATACTATGATGTTAAAAAAGTGTACAACCCCTGGGTCATTAAATGTTTTTACTCTTTTAAGTCGGAAAAATTGACCTATCAAGAAATATTTTTACATGAGCTACATGGCTAAATGATTGGTACCTCTGCTTTTTAACAAACTGTAGGACTGTGAATAGTAAGTTTCTGTAATATTTAAAGAAGTAGCACTCTTAGAGAGACAGAGAGAGAGATATCTTAATATTCCAATTTACGCTGTTTGTCACTGAGCTTATTTTTGCCCTCAGTTAAGCTAAATAAAAATGTTTAGAGAAAAAAACAGCTACATTAAAAAAATAGCTTTATTTTGCATGTTATCACAATATATGCTTTAAAATACTTTTTTTTGCCTCAAACAAACACGATTTCTTTTGTTTGTTTTAAATTTCTAGAATAAACTATAGTATAAATCCTTTAAATGAGGGAAAGGAATACCATTTCTTTAATCTCTTTTTTGTATATATAAGTATTTTTAAATATACTTATATACTTATATTTTACATCTTTTCTAATTTCTTTTTGATTTTTTGATAAAGTTTTTAAGAGTCTTTAAGAGATTTTTCATTATGATTTAATTCTTCCAGTTGTAATCATTTTGTTTTCTCTTATTTATTTAGTTTTGTTATCGCAGCCCTGGTATTTGATCTAATTACTCACTTCATTCACCTGCTTTCCCCTCCACGTGCTCCAATTATCATTAATTGTATTCACCTGTGCGGTCTGCTTTATATACGGTTAAGCCCAGCAATCGGGGCTAGATCATTATTTGTTTTATGTATTCGTGTTAGTTTTCAATGTTTTCTCTGTGTGTTTTAGTTTTTCTTTAGTCCTCAGTTCATGTTCCCGTCCCTGGAGGCCAATGGACTTAGAGGGTTTGGTGTTTGTCTCCTGTCTGCTGATAGTGTTCCAGCTCTTTTCCACGGAGCCCTCAAGGTTTTGGCGGGGATAGCCAGTTTTAACTCCTGTGATCCTGGCTCCTAGGAAGAGTCCAGTTTAAAGTTCTGCAGTTATCCTGGTACCATGTCTTGTCTCTGTTCCTCTCAACCACTGGGCCCACATGTCTCCATCTGTGCGTGTCTGTCTGAGCTCACTGCTGAACTCTAAGAACTCTGGACCTGCCTGAACGTTCTGTGGATTCCGGGAACCTTGGATTTGTCTGTTCCTGTTTGGATCCCCTGGTCAGTCTACAGACTCCTGGATCTCAGTACAGTCCTGTCTCTGACCTGGATCGGGCTCTGGAAGGTTCAGCATCACATCTCGTTGGTAGTGCATCGGCTGATCCTGCCTTACCCGAGAGGATGGGTTGAACTGTTGAATCAGGAAAGTGACTCACACGGATAATCATCTTCTGTCAGATCATCATGGTCACTCAACTGTGTTTCTCCCACAACCAGAGTGCCAGTGAGGGGTTTTGCCCCGCCCCTTCGCAGCCTCTGCATGTCCGCTGAGCCACAGCTCTGCGTTCAGTTTTCTGTTTTGTTCGACGTTTGTTTAGTCATAAATGTTTTGAAACTTCCCACTGTCTGTCTCACCTAGAATACTGGGTCCCATCTGTCCTGTTATATAACAAATTTCAGTTAGCTTTTAAGGTGGGTATGGTATTTTTGTTAGATACTAAGATTTTAATAATACTAAGTTCATTCTTCTCTTTCACTAGTTTTAGTTTAGTTTTCATTAATATTTTCTTTTTAGACAGAAAATGTTTATATTATGACACATTTATGAAATAAATAGTCAGCAAACAATATTACTTTAAAAAAAGATTTAAGTATAGTGGACATGAACTGACTTTTGTTAAAAAAAAGATTCAAATCAGTTTCCAGGAAAATACAAATATTGCTAAACTCAAAAATGAAGGACATATAGGAGAATTAAGTCATGTTACTTTTATTTAAGCAAAAATAAAACTTTTGTTTTAATTTAATGACAGTATTTATTTATTGCAGTTAAATAACATATTTTATCAATTTAGTTTTTAATTTTTCACCAGTTTTATTTAAGTATAGTAACTCTGCTCTCAGGCTGCAGCTTGCAGACCCATTAATTAGAAGAGTTGAGCATCTCTTATGCTTCCTTTCTCTCTCTCTTCTAATGCTCAGTGTTACATTTAAAGTATTTGTCGCATTTAGCAAAACTGCCATGTTTGTGAAGTAGGAGAAGAAAAAGGGTTTAGCCATGAAATATCCTCAGAACATATTGATTAGCATATCTAAAAGGTGCATTTCCTGATCCTGCTCACTGTGTGTTGTTTCAAGATAAATTGGTGCCCATCTCCAACCTTATAACGCTACAGTTGCAGCTGTTTTAAGTATCTTAATGACTCATCAGAGTATTGATAAGTTTTCTGGTTAAACTTTTACTAGGTTAATTAGTACCCTTTAATGTTAGATGGATTGAATCTTTATAGCACTTTTCTAGTCATATGATTACTCAAAGCACACGTAGCAGAGAGAAACCAAAATAAAACCAACAATTTCTGGATTATTTGCAAATGCACTCAAATTAAAGGCGAAATATTTTTCATTCTATAAATACATTACTGCAATGAAGCGATCGCCATAAGGCTTTCTAAACATCTTCTCCACAGGTGATGCAGGTTATCCATATTCACCAAGCCAATGAGCTGGGAAAGCGTCATCCCCACTCGCACCATCACCCTGTCCTTCCAGTGACGAGCCGGTCTGACTTTCACATTGTAGTCCTGGAACAACTTCTGATGGAGTCTCCGCTCTGTCTCGGAAGCTCCTGGAAAACCAAATGTTTTGTTGTGACTAATACTTCTGGAAAGGATTATAAGAGGTGAGTCAAAGTTCTACTTATGAGATATCAAATTGAATCCCGTTTAACAAAGCGTGCTTGAACTTCTGCTTTAAGCCTCTGAAAGTCAGTCAACAGAGTGTTTGTTCTCTGGATCGATAAGTCACACCTGCTGTGGTTTGGTATCGCGCTCAATTCCCACTAAGATTATTGTCTAAAAATAGCGTCCTATGCCATCTACACGATGCATGGATGATCTGTTATTTAATGCAGAGGTCACTGACCTCATGGATGATGACTGGTTAAGGGAGATCATTTGATAGCAGGTGGGGAGCCATCCTGCAAAATGGGAAAAATAAAACAATAAAATCTGTGCCTCCTGTTTCCTACTGGGAAATTCCTAGCTAGAGATGACCCTTTTGGATTATAGCCTTTGGTAAACATCCCTGGAGATTTTCTTTAACTGGGCCGGGAGATTGTTTTCTCAAATAGGGGATAAACTGAAAGGAACTCCTTTGGATCAAAGTCAAAAACTTACAGAAATCCTCTGATTGAAGTTCTCAAAAATAGATTTATGTGCTATGAGGTCATCCAAAATAAAGAAAAGCGTTATATCAACACATCAAAGGAAGTTAGCTAAATCTGCTCATATTTGTCTATTGGGTTGTTAATGAAGGTAAAAGTAAATCATTATGCCTTAAAGCCAGTGGACGTAAGCAGCTCGGCCATATTTTCCCTTCTAATTCTATTAGAACTGATATAATCTGATAAACTGCTTAATTTACCTTTTCTATATTCTTTTTGTGTTTATTAGTTTAACTAAAGAGGGTTTTTTGTCAGAATAACTGTGAAAAGGCTTGAAACTGAGCTGAGAAAGACAACCCTAAATAGTTAGAAAATCTCTAAATCTACCTTTTTTCCAACAGATTATTCATAGATTAAACAATATAAGGCATACATGTTTACAGTAATTTTCAATTCATTAGAATATTGCTAAAATGTTTTTTTTAGTTAAGAGAAATTACTTTACAAAGCAAAACTGAATTGATCATTTGCATTCTTTTGTTACATTGATCTGTATTAAATGTTATACATTTGCAATGACATCCGATGAAAACGTGACATTTAAGTTTGTAATATTAGATGACAATAAAGAAAAATCCATAAGTTTTTAACACAGCATTGTGGGCTGGATGAAAGGTATTTTTCATACTTGTGTAAAGGTTTTTTTTTTTTTTTAAAGATGTTTTTAAACTGTCAAAAGTAGAAATAATATTCTAATTAACTGTATACTGAACACAAATGAATCAAGGTTAAAGGTTTGGGTGTTTGTATAAGTTTATTTCGAAGGAGGGTAATTGGGACTTATATTCTAAAATATTTAATAAAACCAAATTCTCTTTAAGGAGCAAGAACTTTTACTAAAAATGAACCAGTCAGCTAAGCAGTAAATGTTGTCACTCTGGTCAGTTTAACTGAGACCATTCTTGTCACCTGATCTTAACATCAACACTGTAGACAGCTTATACGATCTTCATATTTTAAAGTTTTGACTGCAACCAGCTGTAACAACTCGGTTCAAGATGTCAAGCTCATATAAATTAATAATAAATAAAAAAATAGAGATATGTTTGCCTCTTCTGATTAATCCAGATTTTACATAAAAATACCAATCCAAACCCTCAGAATGATTGAAAAAAATAAATTAAAGTGATCTGAACCACTCATTGCCACAGTTCTGATTCTAAAATAACACAAAATGAGCCTCATCATGTTTTAAGTGATTAGGTATCATTACATTATTTTAGCTAGGCCCTTAATGCTTCAATAAAAATGCAATTTTAAATAATCTTCAGAAATGCTCTTAATATAAAAAAAAATGAATTTCAGGGTTGCAATAACTGCCAGACATAATCATCAAAACAAGACTTAGAAAGATTTATTTTGTCATTTTGTATACACAAATGTAAACAAAAAGAAATTTTGTTTAAAACAGCTCTAGACAATTTAATTTTTTTAAAGTGCAGCCTTGAAAAACACCAATAAATACATAAAAAAAATAGTTATATAAATATATGACTGTAATATTTATATTACTATTTTTTTTAAACAAGTAGAAATATATCTATCGATGTGTAATAAATTAGTGGAAATTATAGGATTGTAAACAAATACATTTTTGCTGACATTCTTATATATTAAGATACAATAGAAAAGCATAGAATACGATAGAAAATCCCTTTATTGTCCCACAATGACGAAACTGTAGTGTTACAGCAGCTAAAGGTTATAGCAAAAGTCATCACACAAATGTGCCTTAAAAAGTATATAAAAAAATTAAAGAATAAGTGACAGAGTTAAATCAAAAAATAAAATACTGTACCAATAAAATACTGTACGACTGATGAAATCAATACATAATTTTGGTAATTATCACAGAAGCCAAAGGGGAATGAGCTGGATTGACAGCAACTCCTCTGCAAAGCATATGTAGGACAGACAGTGAAGGACAAACCCGACTCACAAAAGAGTCAGTGAGCGTAGTTCAGCGAATATCTCCTGAGGGGCAAGGGAGACCCGGCTAATGTGACAGATATGCCATGAGAATGTGGGATCAAAGGGATTTCTGGGATTCCATCTCTATTATGGATGGAAAACATATCCTAATTAACCAAAAATAAAGTGTTAATAAGATGTCCTTTATGTTCCTTTGAACAGATAGCAGACGGTTAGGTTGCTATTTTTCATCCATTTTAGAGAAAAAAAATAATCAACTGCACTCAAAAAAACAATAAAAAAGTTAAAATTGACTAAATTAGTGTTGTGTGACTGAAAAGAAAATACATGTATTTACATACATTTACATGTATTTTGCCAATTTTAAGGCTTGTCAGGTAATAATAATAGTGTTAGGAGCGCTGACTGCACCACAGGCCACCAACCAGTAAAGGGCAACAGATTGTTTTTCTATCTGTTATTCAGTGTTAAAGGTTAAATTACCTTTTTTCTCTACTCAGTTAATTTTACCATTTTTACTTCATCACCTAAATGCTTTACATTAGAGAAAAATACAATTTCAGAGTAATTCAAGTAAATGAGCCTAACCAAAAGGATTCTTGAAGTGCAAAGTTTTACCATGCACATATAAATGCATTCATTTTCCTTACCTGTGCAGGTGAAACAAAGAACGCCACAAATGACGAGGAACGTGTCAATGTTAAACATCCTCATCTGTCCCATGATGGCAGACATTACATCCTTGTAAAAGACTGCAGTCCTTCTAACTTCTGAGTTCCTGCGCCTGAGTCCAGCTTATCTCGTACAGCTCGCTCCTCCAGTGGCACACGGTCTATCCAGCTCTTCTCTCTCCTGCCCCTACGTACTTTTGTGGTCATGGCTCTCTGGGTGAAACCACAGCCTGATTAGGTGCCAATGCTGGGAGTCACGAATGGGTGGAATGTGTTTGTTGTGGGAGGCCTGTGGACACCTGTTGGTGCTCACCAATCTGAGGTTAGGGGACGGGTTGACGGTGGAGGAAGTAAAGGGATGGGGTTATGACAGAGGAAATATTTTTAGGGGGGAGAATCAGTTGACTTAGAGGAGGTCTTTCTCAAGAGACAGGTGAAGAATTGATAATCTCTAGAGCAATTCAGATCTGTTGCTAATCTGAATTGCTTTCATCCTATAATTATTGGTTGAAAGTGTGGCCTGGGGGCCATTTGTGGTCCTTGTAAGGGTTCTGTGGTCGGCCTCCCTGCCTAATTTTGAATATGTTACAAATTTGACCCTCCAGCATAGGCAATCAATGCAGAAGAATAACTTTGGGGTCAGCTTTTAAATCACATTTTACACATTCTTAAAAAGACAATTAAGCAGCACACAAAGTTTTTGTGTTTTGTGAACCATGTGTTTCTTTTTTTTTTTTGTATTTTTTGGAAACAGGGACCAAAGAAAATTCCAAATTACTTAAAGGAATAGTACACCCAAAACATGATTAGCCTTCATTTTCTACTCACCCCCATGCTGAACAACACTCTGGAGTACTTTTTTGATATCTCAAATGCATCTGGAAATCTGGGAGGCTTCTTGCTGTCTGCTGACATTCAAATAATGGAGGTCTATGGCGCCCGAGACAGAAAGGTCCATAAAAGTCCATAAAAACGTGTCAATATTCCTCCATACTGCTCGTCCAATGTATTCCAAGTGTCCTGAGTGGGTAGCGTCCATAATTTACTCGAAACGAAGTCATTTAGAATGTTTTTAGAGCATAAACAGTAGTGTATAGGATTTCCTAATAGCGCCCCCATGCGCGCTCACGGCGCTACGGAAGCCGGCAGACCAAACCAGCGCATTCAGCTCGGCAAAGAACTCATGCTCTTCCTCAACACTGAAGTCCTCAGACATTTTTCTTTCGTTGTTTCTTTCTTTGCACAGGTAAACAGCACATTTCTTCTTCTACGCTTGCATTATCGGCAGAGCAGACGCTGAATGCGCACTTCCTTCCGGTTTGGTCTGCCGGCTTCCGTAGAATCGTGAGCGCGCATGGGGGCGCTATTAGGAAATCCTATACACTACTGTTTAGGCTCTAAAACGTTCTAAATGACTTCGTTTCGAGTAAATTCTGGATGCTACCCACTCAGGACACTTGGATTACATTGGACGAGCAGTATGGAGGAATATTGACACGTTTTTGTGGACTTTTGTGGACCTTTCTGTCTCGGGCACAATAGACCTCCATTATTTGAATGTCAGCAGACAGCAAGAAGCCTCCCAGATCTCCAGATGCATTTGAGATATCAAAAAAGTACTCCAGAGTTTTGTTCAGCATGGGGGTGAGTAGAAAATGAAGGCTAATCATGTTTTGGGTGTACTATTCCTTTAATGATCTTTCAAAAAAGATTGAGGTTTTCATTCTAGACTGCCACTTCAACTATTGAAAGACCAGAATATTGTGCCCTTTGGTGTGATGTAGCAATAAAGATAAACTGTGCCAGCATTCAGGAGGCATCAAGGCTAGTTGGGTGAACCACTTTAACCAACTCATTTTGATACCCATTGAATATGGCTCTATTTCAAGTTCCACCCATCAGCTTTGAGCAGATTTGATCTGAAACCTGAAAACCAGGATTGAGATATAGATGAATGGCTAAATCACAAACTCTGCCTTTCCATTGAATTTTCCCTTATCGGAACAGGCTGAGCTTCACCTGTGGGCTTTGTGGGCGACAGTGGCGTTGGATGTACAGTAGGAGTTTGCCCTGAAATCGAAGGATTGACGGTTCAAGCCTCGACTCCGACTTTCAGTATCGTTGTGTCCTTGGGCAAGACACTTCACCTGCATTGTCTACTGATGGTGGTCAGAGGGCCCGGTGGCCCCAGTGTACGGCAGCCCCGCTTCTGTCAGTGAGCCCCAGGGCAGCTGTGGCTACAAGGTAGCTTGCCACCATCAGTGTGTTAGTGTGTGCGTGAATGGGTGAATGAATGTAGTGTAAAGCGCTTTGGTCAAGTCTGCTGACTTGAATAAAGGCGCTATATAAGTACATGCCATTTACCCTTCACCATTGTGTAAGGTTTATTTTTCTTCTGCAATGTTATCTTCAGTTTCCCATCTCTCTTGCCTCCTATGTTATCCTCTCTCCCTAAAAAAACTGTCCATAAATCAGAGCCACAAAGAGGTATGGGAGAAGCAAAATATCTCAGGTTTGCCCCTGTGCATGCCAGAGCCGCAAGTATAAATACATCTGTCACAGGGGCTCCTATGTATTTTTATGCATCTGCTTAACAGCTAATCTGCAATATTATGCACAGACAAAGCATTGACCAAGAGTCAGAAAAAAGAGATGAGTGCAGATTTACCAGTATGGCAGTGGTAATGTCGTGTAAAGGTGAATAGTATTATAGGGCTTTTAGTAGTGTCAACAGGGAGATCCGATGAAAACGAGAGTAAAGGTTTGCCTTCAGCAATCTGAGAATTGCATTAAAGAAGGAATTGTTTATTAAGACTTATTAGGAACTACTCTTTCAACGATAATCCATGAATCAATTCATTTTCTGTTCCTGACAGCTCAGTCTGGCCATATGTGAGAAAGTAATTCCTCCTTTCCACATCCTTCCCCTCAGATGGATAGAATAAAGAATTCCTTCTAATACAGAACCAGTCTCACAGCGAGTATTAATATGTACTTGGTCAGCTTCCTTGTTATTAAAAAACTTTATCTCGGAAATACATCGGCTGCTAATCATCTTCGTTCCACCAATTTGCTTTATAGTTGCTGAATATTATGGCTGACATGTAAGCACGATGCTGCCTGAGATCTTTAATCTCAATGAGACATTTCCTGGATATATAAATAAAACACACGCATAGTATACGCCTCTTGTGATTTTGCAAACACAAGCTTGGTATAGACAAAATATTAATAGATGAATTATCCACATTAATTTAAATTCTTCAGAAAGTGTCACTAGTAAATTAGTAAACAACTGTTACATATATCATACAATAATCCAGCCAGAGTCCTTCATCCCATATTTAGATAGTTATGAGACCATGTTGCTCTAAACCAAACATGCCAATTTACTGAGTTTGTAAAACACAGAACTAGTTCTGTCCACATTGAACACAGCCTTTGGTTACAATTTAGGTTTTCTACACGTTTTTTTGTAGCAGCCAAAAAAGTAAGCTGCAGTTTATTATCATTACATTCGACTAATGACCTCTTATGTACAGAAGAATACATTTATCATCAAAGTTACTTATCAACATTTTTATGGTTCATTGAAGTGTATTTTTGTTCTCTATGGGGGAACATAAACAGTTTCTGAAGTCCCTCCAAATCATTGTTTTTGGTGTACACAAACATTTTTTCATTCAAACAAAGAGCTGGTGGTTCCTGAAACCATGTTTCCCTCGTGCAGATGGAAAATGTATTCATATTATTAATGAAACCCAATCTCCACTAATTTTACAAATCTTCTAAGACAGAGGTCATGGATCATACCAAACCTGATTTAAAACATTTATAAATTACTGCATGTTGTCCCATGGCAGTTCCGCTTCTCCTGTTAACATGGTAAAATCTTCCGGAGCGTCCGGCATCAGGCTGCATGTGATACAAATTAGCCAATGAGCTGGGTTAGTCTGGGTTGCTGCTGCTAGCTACTTTTATACACAGCAGGCAAACCTGTGGCAAGCCGGGGGATGGGAAAGTAGGAGAAGATGATATAAAAAAGAGAGCAGAGAAAGTGTGGACTGCTGGAAGAACTGCGGTGAACTGGTGAAAAAAAGTGAAATGGCGTGGTCAATATGGCCCTGCACATTTCAAGTATGTTTGGCTCAACCTATTGCTGTGAAGCAGGATTCTCCACCATGAACATAATGAAAAATACATATGGATCCAGACTTACTCCAGATTTGCTTTTGTGGTGGGAAATATGCTTTAAAAAAAATCTAGCACCAATTTTTGTCATGAACCGAGGACAGATGGACCCAGTATTCAAGGAGAGACAATCAGTAGGAAAGTTCAAAACGTTTAATAAAACAAAACTAAAGCGGCCACGATCATCTGACAGAAGATTATCTGGGTTGGTCACTTACCTGGTTTAACAGTCCAGACCAAGAATGTCCCCAGTGCTGCAGTCCCAGAGGTCATGCTGGAAGCCGATCCTGGTCAGGGATCCAGAGCTCGCAGGAACAGAAACAGGTGGCAGGATCCAGATCAGGCAGGAACAGAAACAGGTGGCAGGATCCAGACTTCCAGGCATCCACAGGCTTCCAGGAGGGTTCAGAGTCTTACTGGGACCAGAAGCATGACCAGGTGGTCACGCACAGGAGCAGACAGGATCAGGTGCAGACAGGCAGGCTCAGTGGAAGAGGGTAGCCGAGACAGGACGTAGGAACCGGAACTTGAAGCAGGACTTTAAACTAGTCTCCTCCCTGGAGCCAGGCTTACTTTGATAAAAACTGAACCTCCCCCCATAATGAGCCAAAAACCCAGAGGACTCCTCGGGGGAGGAAAAGTGGACGATCAGGAGACGAGACAAACACTGAAACCCTCTTTCCGCTGGCTGCCAGGATCCAGGACATGAACCATGAAATAAAAAAAACTGAACAGAAAGACTAACAGAAAGACAAGTAATGATCTGGCACCGGAGAGAACTGAATTTAAACCAGAGGAAACAGGTGAGGGGTATAAATTGTAATTGAGGCAGGGAGGGAAAACTGCAGGTGAGAGGAATTACTAATTAGGGAGGAGCAAACAGGCCAGATCATGACAATTTTAAGGTATAGAGAAGGAGTTTCTTTTTTTGGGTGAATCATCTGAATAAGTGGTCCTCCTAATTGTCAATCATTCTGTTGATATGCTTACATAAGGCCATCCTACATGCTCGTCCCTAGTTAGCTATCTTTTTCAGGGGGATATCTCTGGGGAGCTACGGTTTAAGCCAGTCATTGAAGATCACCTTTCTTACCATGGTTCTTT